TTTATAAAGTGCTTATTCTCTTTGTAATAAAAAGAGTAAATCATGAGAAGGTGTGAATAACCTCTTTTCTAGTTATCATTTATCCAGTAATCTTAACATTCATTGATAATCTTTGCTTGAATTAGTTACTATATTGGTGGTTGCAAAATGGATGGTTTTCTAGTTCTGTTATTCTTTGTATATTTATTAGTTATCCTTTTCTTTAAAGAACAACCCATATTTTTTCTTAAGCTATATTTTTCATACAGTAAAATGTATATATTAAATCTACATTTTGATGAATTTTTATACCTTTGGAACCATGACTGTTCCTCATTTATATCACTGTAGAGCATGATTTTTAAACCTTTTATTTATTTATTTATTTATTTATTTATTTATTATTTTTTTTTAAATATACTTTATTGATTTTGTACAGAGAGGAAGGGAGAGAGATAGAGAGTTAGAAACATCGATGAGAGAGAGTCATCAATCAGCTGCCTCTTGCACACCCCCTACTGGGGATATGCCCACAACCAAGGTACATGCCCTTGACCGGAATCGAACCTGGGACCTTTCAGTCCCCAAGCCGACGCTCTATCCATTGAGCCAAACCGGTCCCGGCCTTTTATTTGTTTTTTAAAAATAAATATTTTTCGCCCTGACCAGTTTGGCTCAGTGGATAGAACGTTGGCCTGTGGACTGAAGGGTCCCAGGTTCGATCCCAGTAAAGAGCATGTACCTTGGTTGTGGGCACATTCCCAGAGGGGTGTGCAGGAGGCAGCTAATTAATGTTTCTCTCTCATTGATGTTTCCAACTCTCTATTCCTCTCCCTAAAAAAAAAAAAAAATCAACAAAATATATTTTAAAATGTATATTTTTTATTTTAGAGAGGGAGGGAGAGGGAGAGAGATAAAAACATTAGTGATGAAAGAGAATAATTGATTGGCTGCCTCCTGCATACCTCCCTCCCCCCACCGCTCCCACTGGAGATCAAGCCCAAAACCCAGGCATGTGCCCTGACCAGGAATAGAACCGTGTCTTCCTAATTCACAGGTTGACGCTCGATCACTGAGCCACACTAGTTGGGCCCCTTTATTTCTTGTTTCAAATTTGGCTAATGGGAGCATCTTTAAGCTGACTCATGATGTCCTTTTGACCATGTTTCCATCTGTTTTTGAGCACCTATTTAAGCACAGAAAAGTCTCGTTTTCATGCCAGCTTTAGTCCTGGAATCAACCATTTATCCAAAGAATCCTGTGTAATTTTATTTGGAAATGGTATTTAGAAACCAAAATCTAAGCACAAAGTGTGTTTGTTCCTACTAGGATACATTATTTATAGACTCTTTTAGTGGTCAGGGCTGGGAAGTAAATTTTAAAGACATTGTGACTTTATATTTTGAGCTCATACTGATAATTTCACTTCTAATCCAATATCACAAAGTTCTTTTGATTTTTGTTGTAGTTATTTCCCTAGCATTTTCCATTGGTAATTTAATTCTTTTATTTTTATTCTTTTGTTTTGATTGATATGTTTAAGACTATAAAGTTCCCTGCGATCACTGCTTTAAATTGTTCCAGAAATTCTGATATATATAGTCTTTTCATTATCATTTTAAAAATTATCAGTTTTTCATAGAAAGTTAAATTCCAAGTGGTAGGGCCTTTTGATTTTAATTTTGTTATTTCAGTTGTTTTATTCCAAAGAGATCAGGTAATTTTTTCCCCCTGCTTTTTGAGATCATGAAGTTACAAAAATTTTTTAAAAAGATTTTTTTTAGAGAGGATGGGAGAGGGATAGAGAGTTAGAAATATGGATGAGAGAGAAACATAGATCACCTGCCTCCTACACACCTCTACTAGGGATGTGCGCACAACCCTTGTAAATGTCCTTGACTGCAATTGAACCTGGGACCCTTATATATTGCCTATCTATAAAGATTGTTGTTAGGATTAACTGAGTAAAATATTTTGATATGGCACATACTGCTAGCTTTTATTATTATGTATACTTTGCTCTGGTAGGGGTAAAGGAATTGTTTAACATTGAATTAACTGTATAAGTTGATAAGTATAGCCAAATCAATTTACTAAAGTTATAAAAATAAATTTTGGAAATGTCATTTGTTTGGTTTGATTCTTATATGATCCTTTATTAGTCTGATCTGCATATGTCAGCTGTTGTGTTGCCATAGATTTATAAAGAAGTCTGTACTATATCCTGTTTTATTTTTTATTAGCTAAGTATATTTTAATTAATTAATTACCTAATGCCTGCAGTTTATTTTACAGGAAACGTTTTTTAAGAGTGAGATTATCTTTTTTTTGCCGAAACCGGTTTGGCTCAGTGGATAGAGCGTCGGCCTGCGGACTGAAAGGTCCCAGGTTCGATTTCGGTCAAGGGCATGTACCTTGGTTGCGGGCATAACCCCAGTAGGAGGTGTGCAAGAGGCAGCTGATCGATGATTCTCTCTCCTTGATGTTTCTAACTCTCTAACCCTCTCTCTTCCTCTCTGTAAAAAAATCAATAAAATATTAAAAAAAAAGGGGAGATTATCTTTTTTCTAAAAAATTATTTGTTTAAAGTATTATGTATGTCTCCTTTTTTTCCCCATTGGCCTCTCCCCGGTCTTTCATTCCCCCACCCCCCAGCACATGCTGTCATTACTATCTGTGTCCATGGGTTCTGCTTATATGCATGCATACAAGTCCTTGGGTTGATCCTCTCCCCTCCCCATGCCTTCACTGAGGGTGGATGGTCTGTTCGATGGATCTATTTTAGTTCATCAGTTTATGTTGTTCATTATATTCCACAAATGAGTAAGATCATGTGATATTTAAATATTTATTTTTTATTGATTTCAGAGAGGAAGGGAGAGGGAGAAATAGAAACATCAATGATGAGAGAGAATCATTGATTAGCTGCCTCCTGCACACCCCCACTGGGAATTAAGCCCCCAACTCAGGCATGTACCCTGAGCGGGAATTAAACCGTGACCTCCTGGTTCATAGGTCAACACTCAACCATTGAACCATGCCGGCCCACTTTGACTAAGTATATTTTAAATTAATTTTGATTACTTACTTAGTGTCCATTCAGAGATTATGCCTATAATGGCAGTGTTGCCAAGATGCTCTCCAAATGATAGTAGCTTAAACTTTAAAAACATAGTTTTCACATAAGGACATATTTCTCACATAAAAATTTCAGAGATTTAGGTAGTTCTAGGATTGATAACAGCAACTGCCCATTATCTTCAAGGGCTCAGCCTCTCATCTTTCTGCTTTGCTTTCTTTATTGTATGGATGATATACCTCCTCCTGATTGCCGTGTGGCTGCTGTATAGTCCAGCACCATACTTTCACCAGCCTGAGTCTCTAGCAGTAGGAAAGGAAGTTGGGGCAAAAAGGCTTACTCTTTGTTTTTTGTTTTTTTGTTTTTTTTAAAAATATTTTATTGATTTCATACAGAGAGGAAGGGGGAGAGATAGAGAGCCAGAAACATCGATTAGAGAGAGTCATCGATCAGCTGCCTCTTGCACACCCCCCACTGGGGATATGCCCGCAACCAAGGTACATGCCCTTGACCGGAATCGAGCCCGGGACCCTTCAGTCCCCAAGCCGACACTCTATCCATTGAGCCAAACCGGTCCTGGCAAGGCTTACTCTTTGAAAAGTTTTCTCTTTTATTAGAAGACTAGAGGCTTGGTGCATGAAATTGTGCATGGGTGGGGTCCCTTAGGGTTGGCCTGTGGAGATCCGGTTCCAGTCCGTGCCCCCAGCCTTGTAGCCTGGCACCCTGGCTTGGCCTGGCACCACCCCCTCACTTGTTCCACTATCCCGTCTGTGGGACGATTGGTCTGTGGGACGATTGGTCGGGGCCAAGGGCTGGGCCCCCATAGCTTGGCTCCCTCAGTGCCTGGGAGCCAGACTATGGCTCTGTCTCCTGCTGCTGCCATCTCTAGTCATCATATGTGAGTGATTGGGTGATTTGGCCCATGCTAGCACCCGCCTTGGCCTGGTGCCACCTGTTAACTTGCACCATCCTGCCACAGTCCTGCTCTCATTGGGGCTCATCGGGGCCTGCATTGTCTCCACTGCTGCTCGCTGCCAGCACTGTGTTGCCAATCCCCTTCCCCGCCATGTTCTGCACTGTCCCCTGGTGGTCAGTTCACGTCATAGCAAGCAGTTTTGAACTCCTGATCTCTTGGTTGAACGACTGCCCGAAGGGACAATTTGCATATTAGGCTTTTATTATATAGGATAAAAATCTTTCCCAGAGCCCTCCAGTAGATTTTTCTTATGTCTTGTTGGCTAAACCAAGATAACATTCCCATCCCTAGGTAGGTCATCACCAACAGAGAGAAATGGCATTGACATAATTGGCATACAGCAATTATCTTCATCTGTTGGGATGGGCATTTTGCTTCCTAATCAGAGTTGGTGTTCATTAGCAAGTTAGAAGTGAGGCTTACTATGGAGTTATCTGTATTATAATCAGTTACTACTACTACTACTGTCTATCTCTGGACAGAACCTAATCGACAACTGTGCTTTTTTGAAAAAATTTCTTTTGTGGAAAGGAATCTGGGTGTTACATAGTGTGTTTTTAAAAAAATATATATTTTATTGATTTTTTACAGAGAGGAAGGAGAGGGATAGAGAGTTAGAAACATTGAAGAGAGAGAAACATCAGTCAGTTGCTTCCTGCATACCTCCCTTTGAGGATGTTCCTACAACCAAGGTACATGCCCTTGACTGGAATCAAACTGGGACCCTTGAGTCTGCAGGCCGACGCTCTATCCACTGAGCCAAACTGGTTAGGGCTTGAATAGTGTTTTGGTGACGAGTGCTTAACTGTTGTAATGAGGCAGTGATTGGATTTAGAGAAGAAATTAAATAATTTTTTTCTTCATTTTTGAAGAGGGCCGTGAAACATTATTTCTTTGATTAGAAGTAATGTAAGAATCAGAATAGACAGAATAACTAGACTAACATGTCTTATTTTTTATTTTTAGTCAGAATCTGGAGACGTGAATAAAAACACAGAACTGAAGAAACTTCGAATTTTTGGGGCTGGGCCTAAGGTCGTGGGCCTGGCAATGGGAACAAAAGATAAAGAAGGTAAAAATCTTTTGTTTGGTCATGAAAAGAAATAAGGTATAACAGTGAGGTTATAGCAAGATTCAAATGATATTTGAATTGCAGTCTGCCTTGGGATTTTCCTAAGACTTGTAAACTTGCAACTAGGATCCTAGAGAAGTCATTTAAGGTGTGAGGAGCCATATTAGGTTGAATTTTTATAATATTTTGGGAGAGAAATTTTCCTTCTCTCTTTTAATATGTGGCACAGAGATTTATTCTAAAGGCTAGTTTATGAGAGAATGGTGAAATTAATGGTTCTCACCTAGTGATCTAAGTCTTGTAACTTTTAAATTCAAAGAGAAATAGAGGATTCTATGGCCTTTGTATCAAAATATAGTGGGGGAGAACTTGTGACTTATATTCTAACTATAATTTTGATATTTTTCTGTAAGTCATGATATATTTTATACTTCTTTGTTTGAGGAAAGCCTGTTAATCACATCTTAACATGTTTGAAAGTTTTAATTAGTAAAATTACTAATGCAAACATCAAGTTCCATCTTTACCTGTAGGTACATGTCAATTTTAAAACTCAATTTAACAAAGATTGCATTATATCTATTTTTAATGCGTAAGAATTTAATGAAATACTATAATCACAAATCATATTAACTATGCATTTTGTGATATTTATTAACTCATACTTCAGATTGCGCACTGAATTCTGGAGGATCACTCTCAAAAAGTTCAGTGTTATAGGATTTAATACATTATAATGTTTTAATAATTAAGCATTTTGATTATTTCCATTCTTTTAATAATTGTATTATCTGGCAGTGATCATAAAACTAGTCTCAAATTAGTCCCTGATAAGTACTTCATATAGTCAGTTTAGAATTAGTAGTTAAGATCTCTGGAGTTTGATTGCCTGGATTGGAATCCCAATCTGCTATTGACTGGCTGTGTGATTTTGGGCAAGTTATATAATTTCTCTGTACTTTAGATTCTTTATCTTCAATGGGGGGATAATAGTTTTTTACCTCATAGTGTTGTGAGATTTTAAATAATTTAAATAATTTAAAAATAATTTTAAATAGTGTCTGGTTCAGAGTAAGCTCTCAACATTAGTTTTTGCTATTATTATATAACTATTTTTATTTTAAGATGAGGTCTCCCGAAGACGAAAAGTTACCAACAGGTCAGACGCATTTAACATGCAAATGAGACAACGGAAAGGAACTCTCTCTGTTAACTTTGTAAGTGTTCTGAGATGTGTCAGGAGGGAAAGGATTTTTATTTAGTTTTGTACTTTTTACCTTACTCTAGTATCTTAGCATGCCATTTAGTTAATTAATTGGGTTAGGAGAGTTAATGGTGAACCTGAAGTTGCAGCTTTGGTTATGTAATGCTAATCGGACTTTGTTCCATATACATAGATTGTTCCCCTAACTCGTAGACTTGTGTGTAAGAGAAGGAATATGAATCTGTAAATCCTTGTATTATAGATAGTGCTCAGTATTCATTCTCTAACAGTATTTGTTTATAGGAAAGATGACATGGTATATTTTATAAAGATGACATGGTATATAGTTGACTTTCAAGAACCCTAGATTTGTAGTCTTTCTTTATTCTAATAACTTAATATACTCTTATTAACTTTCCTATAGAAGCTCAGGAAGTTTAGGACGTTTTATGAAAAGCTGTTTAAGAACAATTATTTAAATATTCAGGATTTAAGTTGTATTTGCTTTTTATTGTACATTATTTTGTTTCAATTAAGGAGTTCTTGGTAAAATTTTAACATTACTTATAGAAAATAGACTTTTATTTTACTTTGTTTTTTAACAGGTTGATCTATATGTTTGTATGTTTTGTGGTCGAGGAAATAATGAAGATAAATTGCTTTTGTGTGATGGATGTGATGACAGCTATCATACATTTTGCTTAATTCCCCCACTACCTGATGTGCCCAAAGGAGATTGGAGGTGTCCTAAATGCGTTGCTGAGGTACAATTTATAGATTTTTAAAAATATATATATTTTATTGATTTTTTTTTTTTTTTTTTTACAGAGAGGAAGAAAGAGGGATAGGGAGTTAGAAACATCAGTGAGAGAGAAACATCCATCAGTTGCCTCCTGCACATCCCCTACTGGGGATGTGCCTGCAACCAAGGTCATGCCCTTGACCGGAATCTAACCTTGAGTCCGCAGGTCGACACTCCATCTATTGAGCCAGTAGGGCTAAGGATTTTATTTAAACTAAGAACAATAACATGCATACACACATATAGTAAACACATTCCCAAAAGCTTCTTCCACTCTGTTTTTGTTCTTTGCTGTTTAAAACCTCCAGAATTTTTAAAGAGAAAGATTGAATGGAACTGTAAAAATTGTAATGTGACAGCTTACTTTTCAAAAAATTTTTTCTGACTATGGCTTAACAGTTCTGTTTATTGCTGCAAATGAATGAGACTTTTGCTCAGAATTTTTATATTCCTGAAAAATAATAAAAATAAAGAAAGGAGCCGAAACCAGTTTGGTTCAGTGGATAGAGCGTCGGTCTGCGGACTGAAAGGTCCTGGGTTCAATTCCAGTCAAGGGCATGTACCTTGGTTGTGGACACATCCCCATTGGGGGATGTGCAGGAGGCAGCTGATCAATGTTTCTCTCTCATCGATGTTTCTAGCTTTCTATCCCTCTCTCTTCCTCTCTGTATAAACTCAATAAAATATATTTAAAAAAGGAAAATAAAGGATGTAGGTTATTTTTTCTATTTTATATTTAATTAATTAATTTATTATTTTATTTTATTTAATCTTTATTGTTGAAAGTATTACATAAGTCCCTCTTTCACCCCCATTGACCCCTTGTAGCCTGCTCCCATCCCTCGCCCAAGGCTTTCACCACCCTATTATCTGTGTCTATATGTTATACATATCTGCATACAAGTTTTTTGTTTGATTTCTTCCCCACTCACCCACCCTCTCTAAGATTCCACAGTCTATTCCATGCTTCTTTGTATCTGGATCTATTTTGTTCAGTTTACTTTGTTTATTAGATTCCACATGTGAGTGAGATTATGTGATACTTGTTTTCCTCTGGCTTATTTCGCTTAGTATGGTACTCTATTTTTATTTATTTTTTAAAATTTATATTTTTTCATTGATTTCAGAGAGACAGGGAGAGGGAGGGAGAGATAGAAATATCACTGATGAGACATAATCATTGGTTGGCTGTCTCTTGCATGCCCCCTACTGGGAATTGAGCCCACAGCCTGGGCATGTGCCCTTGATTGGAATCAAACCTAGGACTCTTCAGTCCACAGGCAGATGCTCTGTCCAGTGAGCCAAACCAGCTAGGGATATTTTTCTTTTTTAAATTAAAAAACAACAATAACAAAAATCCCATTAGACCTGAAACTCTAAAACGTAGGTATTATGCATTCAGTTTTCATACTACCAAATAAACTGTTAGCTTGTTTAAATTTTTATTTGATTGTATAAATTTTCTTATTGAAAGATTATAATGATGTCATTGTCATAAAATGCTTAGTCTGTTTACTTATTTTTAACAAAATATGAAAGGATATTGAAGGAAAGGAGTTGGCTGGATGTATATAGATGTATTCAGAGGTCTTTTATGACCTTGAATTATTACTTAATTCATCTCACATAGGTTAGATGATTCAGAAGCAGTTCTATGCTGAGTATTTGTGTGAAGATATTTGTAATGATGATTGATAGTGTGAAAAAAAACATTCTTCTAGCTAGATATTCTAGCAATCTAGTGGATACACCTTTATCCGTCATCTCTCCTTCCTCCATGAACATTTATATTCTCTACAGCTAGATGCACTAATATACTGAGAATAATAGGCATCCCTAGGCTTGATGCAAATGAATAGTCCTATTGTTTGTCATAGTGCCAGACTCCAAAATTTAAATGTGTCTTGTCCAATTTCCTATTGGAAGACTGCAAAAAATGCAGAGAGGTTCTAGAACATTGTCTCCTAATTCCATATTGAAAGTAATTAATGCTTGTTTTGTTTTGGTTGATTGGATTAGCTTTACCTAGGGAAATGATCAAAGAAGGTAGTATCAGAGAACCATAATACTTTGTTCAGTTCTGTTTCAGTGAGTTAATCTTAGATATTTTTTCTTCCTAGGAATGTAATAAACCTCGAGAAGCCTTTGGATTTGAACAGGCTGTACGAGAGTATACACTTCAGAGCTTTGGAGAGATGGCAGATAATTTTAAGTCTGACTATTTCAATATGCCAGTCCATGTGAGTATCTATATTTAGTCAGTTTGGGAAGGTATGAAGTCCAAAGCTTTTGGTTTGCTTTCTATTTATTTTATTTTGTAGAAAACAGGGACAGTTTGTAAAAGATGATAGATCACCACATCTAAAGACTAGGGGCCTGGCATCTGTTTCAGTTTCTTTCACTCACTAATGTGGCAGTGTGCACTCACCGGTTAAGAAAAAATACTTGATCATAAAGTTGTTTACTTAACTCACTGAGTAATCTTTTATAGAAAAGCATGGAATACGTGGTAGTTGCTGCTTTTGTTTAGTTATTTGTAATATAAGGTTTGCTTCTTTTCCTAGGGAATCTTGGGATTTTTAAAAATGCTATTATTGATTTTTAGAGAGAGAGGAAGGGAGAGGAACAGAGAGATAGAAACATCAATGCTGCCTCCTTGCATGAGGCCCCCCCCCCCCCCCCCCCCGGGGATTGAGGCCACAACCTAGGACTGTACCCTAACGGGGAATCGAACCGTGACCTCCTGGTTCTTGAGTTGACGCCCAACCAATGAGCCACATTGGCCAGGCAGGATCTTGGACTTTTAAAAATCCCTATAAAAAATTTGCCAAAGCTCTTAAAATTAAGCCTTGATTTCTGTGTTTCCTTTTTCCTCTTAGATGTCCTAGGTCATCTTTAGTCTTAGTTAGGAAATAGTTTGCAAAAAATGGCAGTTAAGTTCACTATATTTTTCTGGACATTTAAGTTGCCTTTTGTTTTTTCCTATCCTCGGTGGAAAAGGCTAGGACCCAGTGTTTTTAGCTCTTGGACAGAATAAGTTTTTTTTTTTTTTTTTATCATGGGTTTGTGTTAAACTTGATCTGTGTACTAATATTATAGTGGATTCTGGTTATAGTAAGTTAGTAATATATAATCTTTGTTTTCCTTGTGTAGATGGTTCCCACAGAACTAGTAGAAAAGGAATTTTGGCGGCTGGTGAGCAGCATTGAAGAAGATGTTATTGTAGAGTATGGGGCTGATATTTCCTCAAAAGACTTTGGAAGTGGATTTCCTGTAAAGGATGGTCGGAAAAAGATGCTGCCAGAAGAAGAGGTGCATAGCAGATATTTCTCCTCAACCCTAGCCGATTTAGTCTTTGCATAGTAGAAAACTGCGTTTATTATTAATCACAAGGGACCATGATTGTTTAAAATATTAAATATGAAAGAATTCAAAGTACCTTAAAATATTACTTGCATTTCAAAACCAGTGTGTGGGTTTGTATTTATGGCTGGCCCGTCCCCTGGGTCTCATAGTGCTCATGCCAGAGCAAATCTGTAGCCTTCAACCATTACCTGACCTTTGCATGTAGGTTGCTTCTACACAGTAGAAGAAATAAAATAAAAACCAATTTAACTAGTTAAAAACTTCAACCCCATTTGAATAATTTTACCTAGTTCTTTCTGTTTGAAAATCTAGATGGTGATTTAAGATTTTTAAAAAAAGTATATTTCATAGATAGGTCTGCAATTTAGTTTTCTTCAATACCTAAGGAGATAGGATTTCAAATAGGCATTTAAATTATAACATAATAAAGTCCCATGATATAGGAGATGATCTCTATGTATATAGCTAAATTAAGATGGTCTTTCATTTTTTTTTTCTCTTTTATCCTTGTCACTTTTCCTCATAATTGGTAGTGAGTAGAAGTTTTTTATTTTTTTATTGATTTTTTACAGAGAGAAAGGGAGAAGGATAGAGAGTTAGAAACATCGATGAGAGAGAAACATCGATCAGATGCCTCCTTGCACACCTTCTACTGGGGATGTGCCCGTAACCAAGGTACATGCCCTTGACCGGAATTGAATCTGGGATGCTCTATCCACTGAGCCAAACCTGTTAGGGTAGAAGTTTTATCTCCCATTGAAAGAATTATACAGAGGTGTTTTTTTTTTTTTAATTTTTTAAAATTTTATTTTATTGATTTTTTACAGAGAGGAAGAGAGGGATAGAGAGATAGAAACATCGATGAGAGAGAATCATCAATCAGCTGCCTCCTGCACATCCCCCACTGAGGATGTGCTCACAACCAAGGTACATGCCCTTGACTGGAATCGAACCTGGGACCCCACAATCCACAAGCTCATGCTCTATCCACTGAGCCAAACTGGTTTTGGTGAGGTTTTTTTTTTTTTTTTTTTTTTAAGTTATATTGTGAAGAAGGATTTACAATGAAAAGTATAGCTATTTCAGCTCTCTTTTAAAAAATATATTTTTTTTATTGATTTCAAAGAGGAAGGGAGAGGAAGAAAGCGATAGAAATGTCAGTGATGAAAGAGAATCATTGATCAGTTGCTTTCTGCACGCCCCCTCAATCCCCATGGGATCGACCCCACAACCCGGGCATGTACCCTGGGAATAGAACTGTGACCTGGTTCATAGGATGAAGTTCAATCACTGAGTCATGCCAGTCAAGCCACTTTAGTTCTCTTAATACTGCTTACATGTTATATCTTTTATTTCTTTTACTTTGAGCCATCTTTCTTGTAGCCAGCATGTGATTGGGTCTTGAAATCTATTCTGATATTGGCAATGAATTATTGACATGGTTTATTATTTTTATTTTTTTCACCTTTTTTTTTTCTTTATTGATTAAGGTATTGTATATGTGTCCTTACCCCTTCATTGCCTCCTTTCCCCCCTCTCCCCGTCGCTCATGCTCTCACCCCCATAGTGTCTGTGTCCAGTGATTATTCTTATATGCATGAATACGAGTCCTTTGGTTGATCTTTCCCCATTCTCCCTCCCCTCTCCTGCCTTCCCTCTGAGGTTTGATGGTCTGATAGATGCTTCTCTGATTCTGGATCTATTTTTGTGCATCAGTTTATGTTGTTCATTATATTCCACAAATTAGTGACATCATGTGATATTTATCTTTCTCTGAGTGGCTTATTTCACTTAGCATAATGCTCTCCAGGTCCATCCATGCTTTTGCAAATGATAGGAGTTCCTTTTTATAGCAGTGTAGTATTCCACTGTGTAGATGTACCACAATTTTTTAATCCACTCATCTGCTGATGGGCACTTAGACGGTTTCCAAATCTTAGCTATGGTAAATTGTGCTGCTGTGAACATAGAGGTGCATATATCCTTTCTGATTAGTGTTCCTAATTTCTTAGGATATATTCCTAGAAGTGGGATCATTGCGTCAAATGGGAGTTCCATTTTTAGTTTTTTGAGGAAACTCCATACTGTTCTCCACAGTGGCGGCACCAGTCTGCATTTCCACCAGCAGTGCACGAGAGTTCCTTTTTCTCCACATCCTCGCCAGCACTTGTCATTTGTTGATTTGTTGATAATAGCCATTCTGACAAGTGTGAAATGGTACCTCATTATCGTTTTGATTTGCATTTCTTGGATGATTAGTGGCTTAGAGTATGTTTTCATATATCCCTTGGCTTTCTGTGTGTCCACCTTCAAAAAGTGTCTATTTCTTTCCTTTGCCCATGTTTTGATTGGGTGGTTTATCTTCCTTTTGTTAAGTTGTATGAGATTAAACCCTTTTTGGAGATAACATTGGCAAATATGTTCTTCCACCCAGTGGGCTTTCTTGTTGTTTTGGACCTGGTTTATTAATGGTCTGCCATTTTGCTACTTTCTGTCTGCTGTTTCCTGTTTCTCCTTTATGAATTTTTTTCAGTGTTGAGCAGATATTTTTCATAATACCATTTTAACTCCTTTGGGGTTTTTTTTTTGGCTATATATTTTGAGTTAATTAGTGATTCTAAGAATTATAATATGTAGCTTTTTTTTCTTCTTAAACTTTGACATCTTTAACTTAACACAATCTACTTTATGTTCATATTGACCTAATTGTAAATATAGCAACTTTGAAACTAAGTTGACCACTAATGTTGGGGGTTCACAAGACCATATCTGGGTTCAGTGATTTTCTAGGAAGACTCATGGCTATGATTTTTTTTACAGTGAAAAGGGTACAGAGTAAAATCAACAAAGGGAAAAGATGTGTGGTCAAAGTCCAGAGAAAACCAGGTATAAGCTTTCAAGAGTTCTCTCTCAATGGAGGCACTCACTTATGTACTTGTAGTTACTTAAGTATCAGATTGACAAGGAGTGAAGTATTGCCTACCAGGAAGCTCATTAGAAAGTCAGTGCTCAAGGTTTTTATTGGGGTCTGGTGACCTAAGCACCCTCTGCCTAACACATTCCAAAATTCCAGAATCCTGGAAGGAAAGCAAATGTACATAAACCACATTGTACAGTCTCAGCTCTGTGAAGTCACTCATCAGTGTAGAGGAGCTGTTTACCATGCAAGTTTTCAGATGCCAACCAAGGGCCAAACTTGAAGCAAGCAAGCCCTTTGAAGGAAAGCAGTCTTAGGCTTGCTATGTTAACTATTTTTGATTACTGCTTCTTTCTGCGGTCTTATGTTTTAATTTTATTTAACATTTTAAGATTTTGATATGTCTTTGGGAATTGATTATCTAAATCTACCTACTTTTGTTTATATTGAAATTTTCTATAATCAAAAGTATAAAAATGTTTAAGATGCATTGTTCCCCCTTTTGAATGTAAGATTAAATTCAGGGTTCTTAATTTGAAACTTAAGACTAAAGATACAATCTTTTTTCTAGTCTTATTTCCTGTATTACTGAGTATGAATATTCTACTGTCCCTTCATCAGCCAGACCAGTATATTTTGTCTATTTACTTTCAAATCTGATCTATCCTTTCAAGTTCTATTCAGGTTCTTCATTTTCCATGAATTTTTCTTAACAATGCAAACCCATGATGATAGTATTTTGGTGTCCTCTGAAGAACTATAGAATTTATTCTTTTACTGTATTTGGATTTTAATATATATTGCCTTGCCTTGTCTTAGAACTTCTGTATGTAGGCCTTGCCTCTTCAACTAGATTCATTATTCAGCCAACCAGCTAATCAACCAACTAAAAACATTGAATAGTATTTTGAAAAGCCTCTCTCTTTCTCTTTTTTGAAGCATTTTGATGGTAAGAATCATCTCTCTCTATTATTTTTTATTGGAATTCTAGTTAAAACCTATATCGAACTTTCTTATTTTATCCTCTGTGATTCTTTTAAAAAAATAAGTTTTTATTGATTTTAGAGAGAGAGGAAGAAGGAGAGTCATTTAGAGAAACATCTGTTCACTGCCTCCTACAATACTCCCTTACTAGGCTTGAGCCCCCCATGTGCTTTGACTGTGCTTTGACCTTTTGGTGTATGGGACAATGCTCACCAACTGAGCCACGCTGACCAGAGCTTCTCTGACCCTTACTTATACTTTTATAGTTTTCATTTCTTTGTGCTGTATTATGGATGAAATCCTCAAATCTATCTAGTTTATAGATTTTCTGTAAAATAAAACCCTCTTACATTGAGGGTTTTTAATTTGATACACATAAACCCTGTGTTACGGAAAGCCTCAGATGTATAAAAGTAAACATAATAATGCCCTTCCTTCCTTCCATCCAGGTTCAACAGTTATCAACCTTCCAGTGGAAGGCAATTGGATTCTGTTATCTGTTTCTATACTCAGTTATTGTGATGTCACATATCATATGTCCTCTGGAAAATTCACACTGCATTCCTGCAAGAATGATAGTAAAAAGGCAAATAATGTCTTAGCATTATTATGAAAATAGTTTGAATCTGTTTTGGGCTCCCTAGATGCAGCTTTGAGAACTGCTCTTCACTAGTATAAGAACTTTTAAGTCTTTACCTCATGGTTTTAGGGTGGGTGTTTGAAACTCAGTGCCTAGTGCTTATATTCAGTTAGAAACTTCTATGAAAAGTCAGACAAATGCTTTCTTTTTTCATTCTGGCTTTGCTTTCTTTTGTTATTTCTGGAAACTGTAAATTCTTTTTTCTATTGAATTCATCTATGAAACATGTTTTGTTATTATAATTTATCTAATAATCATAATTTATCAAATTCAGGATTATGAATCTCATTATGTCCTTAATATCTGGTACCATTCTAAAAATGTAATGGTAGACATTTTGGGAGGTTATGCTACTTGGGGATAAAATAGTAACCTATGAAAATTAATCTCACACTATTTTACTGGTAAGCTGGAGGGAGTAATAAAAAGCCTTGTTTATTTTCTTCAAAATGAACCAGAGTTATCTGAAATAATTAAAAGGAAATCTAAATACCACCTAGAGTAAATAGGATTAAATATTTAGGTATATTTAGGTAAATATTAAGTATTTCTTTGTATGAAAGAGCAAAGAGAATAGATTCTGTGGAGTAGCTTACTGTAAATATAAAAGTTTTCTTTCTTTTTTGAATACTTCCTTGAGATGTCTGTTGGCCACTGGCCATCTCTGATCTCTCATTTACATTTTTTTTCTTTATAGGAATATGCACTTTCTGGTTGGAACTTAAATAACATGCCTGTCCTTGAGCAGTCTGTTCTTGCACATATTAATGTAGACATCTCAGGTATGAAAGTACCATGGCTCTATGTGGGAATGTGTTTCTCTTCTTTTTGCTGGCACATTGAAGATCACTGGAGTTATTCCATCAATTACTTGCACTGGTATGTATAATCTTTATTAACAGCATTCATACTTAGTAACCTTTTGAAGTTTACTAATCTTAGATTATTGAGGAGAGCTGAATTTAAAAGTATTTTTTATCAAAAACTAGCATCATAGCCCTGTGGCTCAGTTTGTTGGGCATTCGTCTATGCGTTAAAGGTTACCAGGTTGATACCCGGTCAGGGCACATGCCTGGATTGTGGGCTTGATCTCTGGTATGGGACGTGCCGGAAGCATCTAATCGATGTGTCTCTCTCTTTCCTTCTCTTTCTAAAAGAAAAATCAATAAAAAAATATATTTTTTTAAAAAGTAGGATAATATATTAGAGAAATATAGTGGTCTAAGGATACAGCATCTTAGACATCTTCCTTTTTAAAGTATGTGCATGCTCAGGAGCTTAGAGTTGTAGACCAAATGATACTTGTTTGGTATATATGAAAATTACTTTGACATATCTGTTGATATGCAAAGGAGGATGGTCAAAGTTTATATACTTAAGACCCAATTAAACCTTCCATATTTGAAAATTTCAAGTGTTTTTTTTTTTTCTTTTCTTTTTATAAGACATTTTCGCTAGAAATGCCCAAGTTACATATATATTCATTAAATTATTTTGTTGAATTTTTTGGTATCTTATCAAGAGCTTACTTAGTTCCTTGTCCAGTATTATCTTAACTAAATGATACTTTTCTCTTCATTTCCAAACTACTACTTAGATCACACTTGTAATGGAAAATTCTAGTTGTTTTCATGCTCTAATTTATCACTATTCTGTGTAATGTGATAGCTGCTAGCCACATGTGGCTGTTTAAATTAAGATTAAGCAAAATAGCCATGGCTGTTGTTGCAAAGGGGTTAGAGCATTGGTCTACACACCATTGGTCAAGGGCACTTGGGTTTTGGTTCCCTCTCTACTCCCGGACCGGTGGGTTGGGGTGCATGTGGGAGGCAAACTGGTTGAAGTGTCTCCCACATTGATGTTTCTCTCTTTCTCCTTCCTCCTTCTCTTTCACTCTCTTTCACTCTCTCTAAAAGAGCAATGGAAAAATAACAAAAACAAACAAAAAGATTAAGTAAAATAAAAAATTTCAGTGGGAAGACTGGGGAGGGTTGGGGGGCAGGGGAAAGGTAAGAGATCAACCAAAGGACTTGTTTGCATAATAATAAGCATAACAAGTGAACACTAGACACTGGGAGGGGGGTGAGGGCATGTGTGTGGGGAGGGGGTTTGGGGAGGCTGGAGGGATAGGGGAGGCTGTGGGAAGGTCAGTTGGGGAAAAAAAGAGACATATGTACTATTTGTAATACTTTTAAATAAAAAAGTAAAATAAAAAATTTACTTCCTTAATTGCACTAACTACATTTCAGGTGCTTTATATAGTCACATGTGACTAGGAGCCCCTGTATTGCCCAGTACAGATATAGAATGTTTTCATCATTATAGTCAGTTCTATTAGCAATGGCACTATGAATTGTATTAATATTAGGATTAAGAAATTGAGCTATTATATAAATAGCATGAGTGCTCTTAGGAAATTAAATCCATTTCCTAAGAGTACAACTTGGTATTGTAAATGAACTCTAGTGCACTAAAGTCTAGTACATTAATGATGGCAAGTTTTTGGTCCTCCTTAAGATTTATAGAGAGAAGGTTTCAAAGTTTCTAGCCTTGTCTTATTTCCTTGGATAGTAAAATTAAACTGAGTGAAGTTATGTAACGATATTCTAGAAAGCATTAACTTTTACTTTCATCATTATGGGAATAATTAGAAATGTTCAGTGGACCTGTGAATTGTATCCTTTGGAACATCTTTTCACGTAGCATCTTTCCTGTTTGAAAACACTATTTACTGATGCACTGTAAAGATTCATATGCGCCCTGACCCGTTTGGCTCAGTGGATAGAGGGCTGGCCTGCGGACTGAGAGGTTCCAAGTTTGATTTTCCGGTCAAGGGCATATACCTTGGTTGCAGGCATATCCCCAGTAGGAGGTGTGCAGGAGGCAGCTGATTGATGTTTCTCTGTCACCTATGTTTCTAATTCTCTATCCCTCTCCCTTCTTCTCTGTAAAAAAATCAATAAAATATATATATATTTTAAAGGTTTGTATGTTTTGGAATCTTTTTTTTTTTTTTTTTTTAACAGTGCTAAGTGTGTGTCAATTATGAAAAATAGCACAGGTTTATGAGATGGTTGCCAGGATTCATGGCTTATAGTTTGTGGCCATAAACTAAGACAGTTAATTATAATTTAGTGGATTTGAATCAGAGACCCTGGCTTTATTGGCACCATACTCTACCTGGCTAAACAGTTAATTTCTCTTCCTAGGGGGGAGCCAAAGACATGGTATGGTGTGCCATCTCATGCTGCAGAACAACTGGAGGAGGTGATGAGGGAGCTGGCTCCTGAGTTATTTGAATCTCAGCCTGATCTTCTACATCAGTTAGTCACCATCATGAACCCCAATATATTAATGGAGCATGGTGTGCCTGTGAGTCTTTTTGTGTCTCCCTTTAGTATTTTAAATTAAAGTTATTTTAGCTTTTGAGCAGTAGTGTTGAGTGCTTTGTTTTATAACTGGAAGTAAAAGATCATGCCATTCTCTGGCTAAATTAGAATTTGTACTCTGAAGGGAACAATATCGCTTAGATTGAGAAAAGGGTATTTCAAAGTATGCTTTATGTATAGCTATTAAAATAGCTTTCTGTTCTCAGTAAACAATTGTATGCTGGTTTTAGCAAAAATCTTATATTCTTTATTATCCATATTTAACGAAAATTTAAATATTTTAAGTGGTAGTTCTAGTAACGAATGCTTATTCTTTTGGATATGGTATTTCATATAAAGATTCCACATCTTTGTTTTCTACATGATATGATAAAGTAAACACATATCTTTTCTACTTTTCAACTTAGTTTTGAAAATTATTAAATTTAAGCTACTAGCACCTGATAAAGTATAAATTTGATAAATTTGTTACATACAAATATTCATCAAACCTTAATGAGACGAGATTAGTGGGAGTGTTACTTTGTCCTTATGAGTGAATTTATATTAGAATCTGGGACTTTTAAAAAGATAACATAGGAAAAAAAAAAAAGAGGAACACCTGTAATCTGAATGAAGGTTTATTTAAAATTTTATTTTTATTTTTTATTGATTTTGTACAGAGAGGAAGGAAGAGAGATAGAGAGTTAGAAACATCAATGTGAGAGAGTCATCGATCAGCTGCCTCTTGCACACCCCCTACTGGGGATATGCCCGCAACCAAGGTACATGCCCTTGACTGGAATCGAACCCGGGACCTTTCAGTCCCCAAGTCGACGCTCTAACCATTGAGCCAAACCGGTCCCGGCTGAATGAAGATTTATTTAAAAAAATGAATAAAGACACACACACACACACACACACACACACACAAGATAACATAGTATTGTGAAATGAAGTGAGATTTAGAAAAACTGATTTTGGGGATATCTCCATATTTATATGTCCTAATCAATTAGTCCAGTTCCAAAAAATTACCCAAGAGTAGGAGGAAGTTCTATGCTTTACCTCTATTTACAACACAAGAATAAAAGGAATTAAGTCCTCTTAAATGTAAAATTTTATCAAGTTACTGGAAAATAGTAGCTTTGTGAGAGTAACATTTTGTCTTTGAGAATTTCTTTTGGCTGCTAATTTTTATCATGAATTATTATAATTTTGTTATCAGTGATTACTTTAAGAAGGTGAAATTCTGGCTGCTTCTTAAACCTGATATTTTTTTTTCTAGTTGTGTAGGTTAATTGTTTATTGTTTTCAATTTTAGAAAATGTTTTTGAAACTGACTGATCAAATCTGTCTCCCTTTTTTGTTGTCTTTATTTTGTTTTGTACCTCTGTTTTGAATTTGCATTTAGGTGTACAGGACCAATCAGTGTGCTGGAGAGTTTGTTGTGACGTTTCCTCGTGCCTATCATTCTGGATTTAATCAGGGCTACAACTTTGCTGAAGCTGTGAACTTCTGTACTGCTGACTGGGTCTGTTCTATAGCAAGTAGCTGTTGTACGTCTACTAACATCCCTGGAAAATGCATCTGGTTGCCATATTTGCTTAGGGTGGGAGGGGAGGGTTCATGAATATTTCAGTAGAGACTGAAGTGGCTGTGCTAATTTAGAAAGTTCAGTTAGAGTTTCCATTATGGTTTTTATTTGGAAGATTTCATAGTTCTCATTTATTCATTATTTTTCCCATTCTGTTTTAATTTTAAATTGTCAGTTTATATTTTCTGAATTTCTCTTTTTTGAGAGAATATGGCTCCTTAAGTTTTTGCTTTCTCTGAGCACTTGGGGGTTTTATAAAGATGACCAGATCTTCTTAAGAACTGTACTGTATTTTCAAATACCTAGTTCTATGCTTTTATTTTTAAATATCCCTTTATTATTTTCTTCTGGTGGACAATTTGGTGTTTTTATTCTTGCCATTTAATGTTTCTTTATTCCCTTAAAAAAATTACCTTAAAGAGTAACTGTAATGTTGAGATCTCTATGGGCTGAACTTCTTTGTAAATGATAATGCCAGTAATTGCTATTTTGTTTTTGTACAAGGTATTATAAAAAATAGTCAGTTATAGTTATGTCATGTTGGTTGGGGAAAGACTGCAAGTTTATAATACAGTCTTTTTTACTTTGATTTTCTTAGTGATGTTATTTTTCTATCACCTCTCAACATTTTGGAGAATAGTCTTATAAGTACCGCACGCTAACCGATTGTGCCACTGGAGCACCTAGAGGATATTCTTTAGTAATACTGGATTTTATACTTTCCGTGGATACCTTAATTTATTAAATTTCATGATTAATCATTTTTGTTTTTTTAACTAGTGAATGAAATGATGTAATGAATAATCTTATTTGATCTAGTAATTTTAAACTTCTTATTAGGCTTAGGAAGCAGCAAGAGCAAGACCAAATTTAGGACTTTGTCTTGGATTTGAACTCTATTTAAAAAATTCAAAAACAAAAATTCAGCTAACACTTATTTATTGTTTATGATTTTCTTGCTCCTTGGTTAGGTATAGAGTGTGCAATGGAGATGATTCAGAGATTAGAGATGGTTTCTGCCTTTAATTTGTTTTTAAAAAATGTTTTTATTGATTTTAGGGAGCAAGAGAGAGGAAGGAAGAGATAGAAACACCAGGAGAGAGAAATATCATTGATCGGCTGCCTTGTGTAAGCCCCCTATTAGGTTCATGTGTTGATGCTCAACCATTGAGCCACACCAGCTGGGCTAATTTGCTTATTACTTTTATTGTTATTTGACCTTGGGTTGCTTTTTAAATTTCACTGGACCAATGTATGTAAAGATGCTAAGATTTACTTAATAAAACCACATATGTGGTCCTAACCAGTTTGCCTCAGTGGATAGTGTGTTGGCCTTCGAATTCTAAGAGTCCCAGGTTCGATTTCGGTCAAGGGCATGTACGTTGGTTGCAGGCACATCCCCAGTAGGGGATGTGCAGGAGGCAGCTGGTCGATGTTTCTCTCTCATCGATATTTCTAACTCTCTATCCCTCTCCCTTCCTCTCTGTAAAAAATCAATAAAATATATTTAAAAAAAATAAAATCTCCTTCTTGCCATAAAAAAAATTTTAAAATTAAAAAACAACAACAACCACACATATGAAATTATATACGTGAAAGCTCGATACTCTTTAGAAGAAGGCTGTGATATAAATGTTCAAATGGAGTTTATTCTGTCATTTTTATAATAAGAGGCTCTGGAGGGTAAATAGTGGTTCTGTTCTGGAATATGCTATAAGCAAGTAATTTAATTTGAGAATCTTGTCTTGTTTTCAGTTGCCCATTGGGCGTCAGTGTGTCAATCATTACCGACGGCTAAGGCGCCATTGTGTCTTTTCACATGAGGAACTCATTTTCAAAATGGCAGCAGATCCAGAATGCTTAGATGTGGGGTTGGCTGCAATGGTGTGCAAAGAATTGACTCTGATGACTGAAGAAGAGACAAGATTAAGGGAGTCTGTTGTACAAATGGTGAGCACGTATCCTGTACTTGATACTATTTATGAAATAGAAAAAAAAAATTGAATCTTATAAAAAAAGTTTATTTTCTCTTTGATCTCTTTAGAAGTTGAACACAAAAATCACTAATTTAGAAAATGTTTCATCTTTCTATACTTGCCATGTTGGTTTCTTCAAGTTGATAAAGTTTAAGAATCTTTATGTCCTCATCTGTACATTTTAAAAAATAGAATCCTGTTAGTTAGGATTTTATATATATATTTCTCTCCTACATAGCCATGGCCATTGTGGTTCAGTTGGATGGAATGTTGTCCCATATACCAAAAGGTTGCAGGTTTGATTCCCAATCAGAGTACATACCTAGGTTGGAAGCCAACAGATGTTTCTCACATTGATGTTTCTTTCTCTCTCACCCCCTACCCCTAAAATCAATAAGCATATTCTTGGGTGAGGATTAAAAATAAAAAATTTAAAATTACATGAAAAAATCTACATATAGTAGTATTTCTTCAAACAAGAAAGTTCAAATCGCTCTTTTGTCTCTGAGCTTTGTAATTGAATGAAAGTTATATTTGTGTGATTTCAGACTGTCAAGTACCAGAAATAGAATTTGTAATTTAATCTGTCACTCCTTCTCCCCTCTCCTCCCTCTCCCCCACCGCTCCAAATAATTTAATGAATAGAAAGAACTGAATAACCAAGGGTTGGATTTTGAATGCTTAGAATAAACTAAATATTTATCACATTGAAATGGTAAATATATGGGGAAATATCTTGTCTTCAGCCTCATCTTGACCCATTCTCAAAACTCCCTTCATAGCTAGTATTACTGGACTTATGATATGATCCCTTCTGCTCTTGCACAGCCAACTTTCTCTACTGATTCTGTTTCCATATTAGAGTGTGTGTGTGTGTGTGTGTGTGTGTGTGTGTGTGTGTGTGTGTTTAAGAGAAAGTGGAAGGGAAAGAGAGAGAAACATTTATGTGAGAGTGAAATATTGATTGGCTGCCTGCTGCACCCCCCCCATGGGGATCAGGCCCTCAAACTGGGCATGTGCCTTGCCAGGAATCGAACTGGCAGCCTTTTGGTGCACAGTCCATTGAGCCACACGGCCAGAGCATGTTTCCATTTTTTAAAATAGTTTAGTTGAGGTATAATTGATATGCAAAAAACACCTGTTTATAGTGTATAATTTGAAGTTTGATCATATACATACTGGAGGCCCAGTACATGTAGATTTGTGCAAGAAAGGGCCTTCCCCTGGCTGCCAGCACCGCCTTTGCTCTGGCCTGGAGCTGCCTTTCCGCCTTCCCATGTTGCCCAGAGGCCCAGAACAGTGTGGAACGCCTATGTCGTCGGGTTGGCAAAGATGCAAGCATTGCACCCCACCCCCTGGCGCTCGGTGCCTGTGCATGCAAATTAACCCACCGTCTTTATTGGGTTAATTTGCATACTCACACCTGATTGGCTGGTGTATGTCGTGAAGGTATGGTCAATTTTGCATCTTACTCTTTTATTAGTATAGATACACATATACATACATTTTCACACACACACACACACACCCCCCCCAAAGAAACCTTTTCACAATCTATATAATGGACATATCACCTTCAGAAGTGTCCTTATATCCTTGTGATCCTCACCTCTTATCCCATCTCACACCCCTTCCAGAAAAATAGTAATCTATTTTCTTTAGTTTGCCTTTAAAAAATATATATATATATATATATATATATATATATATATATATATATTTTTTTTTTTTTTTTAATTATATATATAATCGACTTTTTCACAGAGAGGAAGGGACAGGGATAGAGAGGAATCATGATGGTTGTCCCTTCAGCTCTCTCCCAAGATCCATAAACCTCAATTTCTCCTCACAGGACTGTAGACTGAGTTCCACCCACAACTCTCCCTCTGCCTTAGCCCAGGGTGAGTGGCTACGATAGAAATTTTGTGTGTTGGTCCTTTAAGAGGGTGCCTGTATCTCTAGCTGACTCCTTTACCAGTGGTAGATAGAGTCCCTATCAGTTTTCTCAGCCAGATGTTATTTGTGGGCTGGAGCCTCCCAGCTCTGGTGCTCTGGGCTGGAGTCCAGCATGGGATTGAGACCCATGCTTCTCAAGGGGACACTTTTGTAACTGAGATATCCCTCTGGAGTCTCCACTGCCAGTTTTATGAGTTGTGCCAGCCCTATTCATGTCTTTGACTTTCCTACTAGTCTCCATATGACTTCTTTGGTAAGTCCTTTGTTATAAGATTTCTGTTCATCTATTGTTCAGTTGGGTATTCAGGTTGATTATTCTATAAGTTAGGTAGTTGTAATTTCAGTTTGGTTCTGGGAAGGGGTGAGCTTCCACCTACCCGCTGTCATCTTGGATCTTTCTGTTTCTTCTTGTATGAGTTTTGACAGCTTATGTCTTTCAAGGAATTGGGTCTCCTCGATCTAGGCTATAAGATTTATAGGCATAGGGTTTATAATATTCCTTTATTATCCTTTTTTACTATGATCTGTAGTGATGTCTCCTTTTTCATTTTTGTTCTTAGTAATTTGTGTTCTCTTTTTTTCTTAGTTGGCCTGGCTAGAAGATTATCAATTTTATTGAATTTTTTAGAGAACCAGCTTTTAGTCTCATTGAAAAATGGAACAATAAATTGACATTTCTGTATCCTTCTTCCTCTCTCTTAAGCAATCAACCAGTCACATTTTTTAGTGTACTATTGTTTTATATATATAAAGATACTGATTGTCCTGCCAGTTAATAAATGATCAGTGGAATATGCAAATAGACCTAATGGCAGAACAACCAAACAACCAATCGAAGTGTAATATGCTAATGGTATGCTAAGACTGCTCAACTGCTTGCTATGACATGCACTGACAACCAGGGGGCAGATGCTCCAACCAGTAGATTAGCTTACTGTTAGCATCCAGTCAATTGGTACTGAGAGAGAGAGGCCGGACACACCCTGGAGCCGTTCCAGGTTCCATCCCAGCCAGATCGTGCACCAGTAGAGTCCCTGAGTCTTGCCTGTGTCCTCTCGCAATCTGGGACCCCTTGGGGGATGTCAGCTGGCTTCAGATGGATCCTATAGGCCACACCTTTTAGGAGAGTGTCAGACCCAGGGCTTATGGCTGTTGAGCGCTTGCTGCAGCAGTACAAGCCTCTCCCAATCAGGACTGATTGGGCGTGAGCCTGTGGCAGATGTAGTGGGGCTGGGATGAGCGGGAGCAGCAGATAGGAGCTACAGTGGCATTGGACTGTGGGTTTCAGCCCAACTGCAGGCTACTCAGAGAAACCCCACCTGTGCATTAATTCATGCACTGGGCCTTTATAATATAATAAAACGTCATATGCAAAACGACCAAATGGCCAAACAGCAGAATGACAGTCAGGATGACCTTCTGGACGACCTTCTGGATGAAGCTGGGGCTTGGCTGGGGCTGTAAGGGTGGCCGAGGCAGCCAGGGCTGGGAAAGCCTACTCTTGCACAAGTTTTGTGCATCAGGCCTCTAGTTAGTTTTATATGTGCCTTGCACAAGTAAATAGAAATTGTAAAGTAGAAATGGGGATGTCCAGCCCACAGATCACATAAGGCACAAGAAATCATTTAGTTTGGCCCTGCCAATGCTTCAGGGGTGAGTTAAATGTTTGACTAAATATAGCAGGCTGATTTTTAGTTGATAATTTTGCATTGCTTTTGAATGGAGTTATAAATATCCAAATGGCCCTTCACAGAAAATAGGTTCTTTATCCATGCCATAAAGGGAGCCATTATATATATTAAATGGAAGTCTTTGTAAAACGGGACTTCAAGTGTTTTTATTTTCTTAAACTGCATAATGATTAACTTTCTTTTCTTTTTTATTATTATTATTATTATTATTACTATTTATATTAGAGAAGGAGAGAGAGAGAAACATATCCAATCGATTGGTTGCCTCCTGTACACTACTCAACTGGGAATCGAACCCAAAATCTTCTGGTGCATGGGACACACTGTAGCCAACTGAGTCACACCGACCAGGGCAGTTAACTTTCTTTTTGCTACTTCTCTGAAGTAGATTATATTTTGATTTGCATAGTTTAAGTACTTTTATACTTCTTTATCCTTGCATATGTTTATACATGTCAGTATTATTTTTAGATCGTAGATTATTAATGTATCTGGTCAAAGGTGTGTTGTCCATGGGGACAGTAATTTTTCTTATTTTAAAGAGAACATAACCATATGGCTTTATGAGTTGTTACACAGTAAACTTCGTTGTTATCACAATTCTGGTCAGGAAATAGAACTTTGTCAGCTACTCAAAAGTATCTCCCAATTACAACTTCCTTGACTGTTTTGATCTTTGTAGAAATAACTTCCTTGCATTTTAAAAATAGTTGTATCAGTCAGTCAGTCAAATGTGCATTCTTAGATACCAAGATTAAGTCTTGCTCACTTTAAAAAAATTACTAATGATTATTTTTAGAAAGTATTTTGATGAAGTGCCATTGTACCTCCCACATTTATATCTTAAGTCAGAGATTTACTCATAGAAAAAAATTTAGGCACGAGCTTAGTTGGTTAGAGTGTTGTCCCAAGAATATACCAAGGTTATGGGTTTGATCCCAGCTCAGGACACATGAGAATCAACCAATGAATGAATGCATAAAAATGTGTACCGACAAATTGGTGTTTCTCTCTCTCTCTCACCAACTAGTATCTTTCCTTTTCCCTCTCTCTGAAATCAAAAGATAAAAATTAAATTAAAAAATTAAAAAGTAAGTTCTTTGATGCTTGAAAGACTAGAAAGACTTGATCTAATTACATTAATTATATTTCAGGGTGTCCTGATGTCAGAAGAAGAAGTGTTTGAGCTTGTTCCTGATGATGAGCGACAGTGTTCCGAATGCAGAACCACTTGTTTTCTCTCTGCTCTCACTTGTTCCTGTAATCCTGAGCGGCTTGTGTGTCTGTACCATCCAACTGATCTGTGTCCCTGCCCCATGCAGAAGAAATGTCTTAGGTATCCAGAAGTTTCTTGTTAAACTTCTTCCCCTCTTTTAAAATCAAGAATTAGTGTTGCTCTTTGTAATTCCTTCCTCTTTTTCTGGGCTGATAATTTTTTTTTTTAATCTATCTACCTTCCTACTTTGAGAACAGTTTTTTAAAGTTGGCCCTAAACTTGGGCAACTAAAATTACTTTATCAGTTGATTTCACATGTTTTTATCTGTGGTTTCTTTGATTTTCTCTTTTATGTGTACCAAGACCCCATTCCTCTGGCCATTGTACTTTACTTAAGCTGATTGTACTTAAAATTGTTTACTTTCAAGTTGTTGGGTTTTGAAGTTTTTATTTCCATGTTGTTTTGTTTTGTTTTTAGATATCGCTACCCATTAGAGGACCTTCCTTCTCTTCTATATGGTGTGAAAGTCAGGGCACAGTCCTATGACACTTGGGTCAGTCGAGTCACTGAAGCATTATCTGCCAACTTCAACCACAAGAAAGGTTACACTGAAATTGTTATTTTGAAAGAGGCCGTTTTAAATGTGTTTTTCCTTAAGTAAAAATCCTAGGCTTTGTATGATATTTGAGATTAATGGTTTGGTTGATTATAGTCTTAATTTTCTATTTGAGAATCTTTACGTGAAAAAGTTGATGTAAAATGGGATAGATAACTAACTTGCAGTAGATATACTATGTTTTGTTTTGAGGAGCCATTGTTACCAGTAGGCTAACATTAAAGGCTTATTGAGAAAGAAAACTTGGCTTACCTGAGAGACTTTATAAGAATTAGGAATACGTTTTTATTACATTAGTGAGGTTTTCTCACAGTTGCAGTAGGTTTTTGCTAATAGGTTGATGATTCACTTAAGAGAGATTATTTAAGATTTATAAATGACTTTTTATGTCTACATGGTCATAATATATGGCTTTTTATTTATTTTTACAGATTTGATTGAATTACGAGTAATGCTGGAAGATGCTGAGGATAGGAAATACCCAGAGAATGATCTCTTCAGAAAACTCAGAGATGCTGTCAAAGAGGCTGAGACCTGTGCTTCTGTGGCTCAACTGCTTTTGAGCAAAAAGCAGAAACACAGGTAAGACTAAGAAGTGTTGAATTCTTTAATGGTTTCCTTTTTTTTTAATTTTTTAAAATTTTATTTTATTGATTTTTTACAAAGAGAAAGGAGAGAGATAGAGAGCTAGAAACATCGATGAGAGAGAAACTTCGACCAGCTGCCTCCTGCACACCCTCCACCGGGGATGTGCCCGAAACCAATGTACATGCCCTTGACCGGAATCGCAGATCGACGCTCTACCACTGAGCCAAACCGGCTTTGGCTCCTTTTTTCCCCCCCCAGAGTAAAAGTCAAAATTTCAACTTGCTTTTGAGGTCCTTCATCAGCTTTGACCTCTTCTGTCTGTGACCCTCTCCTGCAGTTATGCGATAACTCCTACTTCCTTTCTAGCTTGTTTCATTTTGCAACCCTCTTCCATTTACTGTTCATACACACCAAAAGTGTTCCTACTTTGTGCCTTCACACCTCTCTTTACTCTGTTTTGAGTTCTCTTTCCCTGATATCTAGATGTCTGGTCTCCATACTTCTTTCAAGTCTTTTTCAGATGTTACATTCTTGTAGAGGCCTTCTCTGACAGCCCTTTATAAAACTGCAGTCTTCTGCTTTATTTTTCTTCTAGCCATGTCACCTCCTGTTATACTAATTTACTTATTTATTGTCTATCACCTTTTCCCCCCAACCCACTAGAATGTATGTTTTTCATTATTATATATTTTTTATTGCTGTAATTCTTGTGCTTAGAACAATGCCTGACACATAGTAGCTATGCAATAAATATTTGTAAGTAAATATATAATACAATAGGCTGAAGGCAGATGGCAGCAAAGGGTAACATGGGATTCAGTGGAAGCTTGTTATTAAGGAGCACAAAAGATTTTGCCCTTGATTTAATGTAATTCGTATGTATTTCATTTTCTGTAGTGCTTCATATTCATTCTAACACATTCCTTGTGTCTGAATGGCTTTCTCTATAGCAATTTACTTTGTGTTTTAAATTATTGTGCACCTTTATCTACTATTTTATCAGAAAACCTTTCTTAGAGACATTGATCAGCAAATCTTCACCTGTCATTGGGTCACTGACCCCCTTAGAAAATCTGGTGAAAGCTTAGGAGCTCCTCCCCCCGCTTTTTTAAAGAAAAATATACACCCAAACACAATTGTGAATGAGCTTCAGGAGGTTTGTTTCCTAAACCAGGTTTATTGCCCTTGTTCCTCATCTTAAGCTTCTTGAGATAAAGCATTCAGTTTTATCAGTGAACCTAATATTTTACTGTGAAGAATTTATTGAATGTTTAAAATATTTAGTAGTTTTAGGATTGGAGGAACTAAAACTTGGAGAGTTAAGTCTTTGAGCTTTTAGCTTTAACTATAGAGCTAAAAAACCTAATTTGGAAGTGATTATCACCATTGCAAGTGGAATCATCAAACATAATATTTTGGGATTGCTTGGGTGAGAATTACAAAGAGGCCCTATTGATATCAGAATAACTGAATTTTTCTTAATGTTTATATTATTTTACATCAGGCAGAGCCCTGATTGTGGGAGGACTCGGACCAAACTGACAGTGGAAGAATTGAAAGCCTTTGTCCAACAACTTTTTAGCCTTCCATGTGTCATTAGCCAAGCTCGACAAGTAAAGGTGAAGTATTACCTTCTTTAATTGGGTAAATTCCTATGTAGTATGGGCTACAATTTTGGGTAAACTGAATAGTGTGTCTAGACTAGTTTTTTTGTTCTCTTTTCTTACATAAATGCTGCTATTTAAGTTTTTTTAGTGGGTAGTAAGGATCTCTTGGTTTCATTCTTAGCCTATAATTCCCTCTTTTAAATTCTGGAATTAATGCTAGTTTAGAATTTTATTTCTGTATTAAATTTAGGTCAGAAGCCCCATTTAACTTAGATGTAATTGAAATTTAAGAAATTATTTAAAATAACTTGAATATATCAGTGAATTTTAAAAAATGCAGAGCTCTGACATTATCAGGGCTCTGATGGTTTAATGACAATGTGAAGTCAAATATATTAAGCAGTATATTTCAAATATCTCACTCTGCACAGTTAGCAACCTCTTGATAGTTTGTGGTGTGTTTTTGTGATTTGGCTGTGGGTAGGATAGCTAAAATGTTTGTTTGTTTGTTTTTAATCAAGGTTAACAACTTTGTGAAATCTCGTATCAATAGTGTTTTTGTCTTACTCCAGTTTGTACAAGCATTTGACCATACTTTCCTTCTTGAGAAATTTTCTTTTTTCTTTTGATTTAAAACAAAATTTTTTTTTTTTTTTTTTTTTTTTTTTTTTTTTTTTTGAGAGAAAGGGGAAGTGGGAGGGAGAAAAATAGAAACATCAACGAGAGAGGAAAATCACTTTGATTGGCTGTTTCTTGTGCATCCCACTGCTGGGGATCCAGCCTGCAGCCTGGGCATGTGCTCTGATCAGGAATCAAAATGGTGACCTTTTGGTGCTTGGCCCAAAGCTCACCCACTGAGCCACTCTGGGTGGGCCCTGAGATTTTCTTCTTTAAATAGCTGTGACACTCTATTCTTTGGTTTTCTTAGCTCATTCATAACTCCTTTTCTTTAGTTTTCTTTGCTGATTGTCTTTTCCTTGTTTTGATTTCTGGTTGTGCAGTATATAAGGAGTCTCAGTTCTTTTTTAAATCTTCACCCGAAGTTATTTTATTTTATTTTATTTTAAAAATATATTTTATTGATTTTTTTACAGAGAGGAAGGGAAAGGGACAGAGAGAAACATCTATCAGCTGTCTTTTGCACACCCCCTACTGGGGATGTGTCTGCAACCAAGGTATATGCCCTTGACCGGAATCGAACCCGGGACCTCTCAGTCCTCCGCAGGCCGACGCTCTATCCACTGAGCCAAACTGGTTCTGGCCGAATTATTTTTTTCATTGATATTTAGAGAGAAGAGAAGGAGCTGATGTGTCTCATGTTAGAGACAAATCACTGGGTTGCCCCCTGCATGTGCCCTGACGGGAGCCAGGGATCAAGCCAGCAACCCGGAACGTGTTCCTCGACTGGGAATCAAACTCTGACCTCATGGTTCATGGGTTGACACTCAACCACTGAGTCATACCGGCTGGACAACTTAGCCCTTCTTTATTCTTGGTCTTGATGTCTTCTTATTTGTCCAGTCACATTGACATTAAATATCACCTATATTCAGTTGAGTTCCAAATATCCATCTCTGCCATTCTTCTTTTCCCCAGACTTCACTTTCTGGTTGCATATTCTCTGCTTTCCTTTGGAAGACTAAAAGGCATCTAAAAGTGTTTTAACGAATCAAAATATTTGATTCCTTTATTTCCCTCCTACCCCACAGCCAATCTCTAAACAAGTGCTACTATTATCTACAAAATGAATCCCAAAATAAACCATTTGTCATCAATTCTATTGCTTAAACTGCTCTAAACCACTAGAATCTTTCCATTAAATTATGACAACAGCTTCTTACCTGATCTCCTTTCTGTTCTTGTCCTGACACTTTATTTTTCATTAGCCAGACTGATCATGTAAGATATAAATCAAATCATATCAGCCCTAGATGGTTTGGCTCAGTCGATAGAGTGTCTGCCTGTAGACTGAAGGGTCCCAGGTTTGATTCTGGTCAAGGGCACATGCTCAGGTTATAGGCTCGATTCCCAGAAGGGGTTGTGCAGGAGACAGCTGATCAATGATTCTCATCATTGATGTTTCTATCTCTCTCTATCTCCCTCTCCCTTTCTCTCTGAAATTAATAAAAATATATTAAAATTATATTAAAAAATCAAATCATATCACTTCCCCATGGTTAAAATCCTCTAGTGATTCTCCAAAGTTATTGAAATCCAAACTCATAATCTACAAAGCATTATGTAATCTGACCTCTGCTTATTCAACTACATTTATTCTTTATCTGCTTTACTCCCTATCATTCACTATTGAGCACCAGGCTCATTTCTGTTTAAAAGCTATTGCAATTATTATTTGCCCTGCCTGAACTACTCTTTCCCAGCTCTTCATAAGGTTCCCATATCTACGTTTTCATTTTTGTTTTGGTTCATCTGTCAGATGACCATTGCAAAGTAGTATGCTGCCCTTCTGTTTATTCTCTATTGTGTTGCCCTATTTTATTTTTATGGCATTTTAAAAAACTCAACATTTTATTTACGTATTCAGTGATTTGATCACTTACATTGAAATGTATGTTTTTGGAAGACAAGGACTTTTTATGTTTTGTTTAATGCTGTTTAGTGCCTGCATTTAAGTCAGAAGTCATTTTATACGTTTTAATTAACCATATGTTAAAAGTATGTCTATGTAAGTAATTATAGAGAAGCATATTTATGCCCTTAACTATCATATCTATTTGGTACTATCATGGTGAGATTATTAGGTGCTCTAGAATTGATAATTTTGCCTATCAAAACCATGTATTTTATTGCCTATCAGATATGTTTATTACATACAGATTTTTTATCTTTTAAAATTATTTTTAATTTTTATTCTTTTGGCCTTTTCAGAATCTGCTGGATGATGTGGAAGAGTTTCATGAACGTGCTCAAGAGGCCATGATGGATGAAACCCCAGATTCTTCTAAACTCCAGATGTTGATAGACATGGGCTCTAGTCTCTATGTGGAGCTACCTGAATTAGCACGACTAAAGCAAGAGCTACAGCAGGCTCGGTGGTTGGATGAAGTAAGACTGACTCTATCAGATCCACAACAAGTCACTTTGGATGTCATGAAGAAATTGATAGACTCTGGGGTGGGGCTGGCTCCCCACCATGCTGTGGAGAAAGCAATGGCTGAACTACAGGAGCTCCTTACAGTTTCTGAGCGATGGGAAGAAAAGGCTAAGGTCTGCCTACAGGCAAGGTGAACACATATTGGTGACTGTTGCCTCTATAATAACTAAGCCAGATAGTAGAATGGGAGGAGGAGTATAGGGTCTATTTCAATAAATATTTTGTGTTTTCCCTAACCAATCACTTAAGTTATCAAATGAGTCTACATATAGACAGTTTGTAATATTGTATGCATACTATATGCAGAGAACTTTGTTAGGTACTTTAAGTGATACAAAGTAGTATTTTGTTTAGAGCCTTCCATTACTGATTTTATAGTTAGAAATTAAGAACTATAAAGCTCATTGCAGTTTGTTATTAAATGAGTACAGAAAAGAGCTATAGGAATTCAAAAGAGGAGAGATCATTGTTAACTTGGATGGTCAAAGAGAATTTTGAGAGAAATGTTAAGAATTTAGAGCCTTGAAAAATGAGTAGGATTGAAGTGGAAGAGGAGGCAAGAGAAATGTCATAAGCTAAATTTAAGGTATGAGACAAAAGTTAAATGGGCCTTTTTGGAGTGGAGGATTTATGAAAGAAAATAGTGGGAAATAAGAATCAGACATAAGAATGCTAAGCAGATGCATTAGTGTTGGCACCCCATTGGATTTGTGAGTTTAAGTAAAGCATATTTGACTATATATCAACTAATTTGACTGTAATGTTCTTTGTGAAAGGCTTTTTTTCAGCAGCTAAAATTTATATAATTTCTGTGAATATGAGAAAACTGGGATGCTTAAAAGAGAGATCACATAGTTATTAAATAACACAGCTCAAATTTAAAGCCTTTCCACTTCATTCTGAAGTCTCCATGTACTTACTGCTATGCCTGCCACCTATTTTGAATGGATTTGTTAGGAAAGCCTTTGATTTAATTAAAGTTCTGCTCTGCCAAAAAAGGCTCCATATATATTGGAGATTTTGCTCTCCAGATGCTGTGGAGGATACAAGCTATATTTATTTATAGCTTTTCCTATCTAAAATATTCCTGTGCCTTCAGATTCATAACACTTCAGGAAGTGAAAGCATATTAAATGGAAAAAGCTAAATTACTTTGGAATGCAAAATTAGGATTTGGTATATCTGATGCAATTGATCATAGTCAAGAGAATGACATTTGTTTATAGTAATATTTAAAAACTTTATTTTTTCTCATTTTTCCACATTTAATTAGCCACCAAGTTTTGGTGATATTTGCCTCTAAAATGTTTTTTATATCTTTCTATTTAAGGTTCCTGCTCTAAACAGAACCACCATTCTAGTGGGGAGAGACAGTTGAATAGTGAAGGAATGAATGAATGTCAGATATATAGTGTCACAAAGAAAATAAAATTGGTAAAGAAGTAGGGGTTAATGGGGTTGGGGGAATGGTGGCAACTAGAACTTCCCTTTTTAAACTGTAAAAGTTACCTATCTGAAACACATTCTTACTATTCTTCATTTCTTAGTACTGGTTAACTACTGACCTGTGTGTTTTTTTTGTGTTTTTTTTGTTTTTTGTTTTTTTTTAATTTATTGATTTTGAGAGAGGGGAAAGGAGAAAGAAACATCAATTTGTTGTTCCACTTATTTATGCATTAATTATTTGATTCTTGTATGTGCCCTGATTGAGGATCGAACTCCTAACCTTGGCGTATTGGGATGATGCTCTAATCAACTGAGCTATCCAGCCAGGGTCTAATCATTTTTTTTTAACAATTGTTCTTCTCTCTCTCTGCCTCTTTAATAATGACTTGCCTCAATATTCTGTCCTAGACTGCTTATTTTCTCACTTTGTACACCTCTCTGGAAATTTCTGCTAACTTCTTGGTTCCATTTACTCTCTTTATACGGATTAATTCCAAATTCTTATCTATAGAATTTTTTTCATAGATACCATTTGTCTATAATTCCATTGTATGTTCCTCAAATTCCCATATCCAGAAATAATTCCTTCCTATAAGTTCTTCCTTTGTTCTCTGAATTATGTCATCTTTCACTCATTTGAACAAGTCAGTACTTTGGAAATTAATTTTGATCCCTGCGTTCTATTTTCTTATCAAACACAGTTAACTACCAAGTCATGCTGATTCTAATTCCTCAGTTTCTCACTTTCATTCTTTTTTGTTGGGCTGTTATAGCCGATGTGGATTGTAGCTACAGGTCCTGTCTATGAGCTCACCCCTCTCTAATCCATTCTCTACACTGCAACTAATATTTTCCTAAAATACAGATGCCTATTTGATGCCCTTGCTTTATTAAAGCCTTGTTTCCCATTCCCCTTGGGATGAAGTTCAAATTCCTTAACCTGATTTATAAGGCCAGCTGTAATCTAGCCCCTTACTTTAATATCTTGCCTCATACCTTGCTATTCTTCCACTTGTATTCTAACATAGTGATTGCCCCTGCCTCCCACCATTGCTTCCTCAAACATGCCATGTTCTTTCTCATCTCTGGACCTTTGGGCCTTTTATTCTTATATGGAACAGCCTTCCTCTCTGCTCATTCCCTGTGGTGTACCTTCACCTTCCCCGCCCTCCCTCTAATCCCAACTTTTCTGACTAACTCCTATTCAAAAAGGATAAGAAAATTTAGAGGCCACTTCTGGGAATCCTTCCTTCACCTACCAAGTCAATTAGGCCTTCCTATATATCCTAATAGCATCTTTATTTTTCTCTATCATTTCACTTATAGTGCATCTAACTCATTAATTCTCTCCTCCACAAGATTAAAAATTTTCATAAGGCAAGGACACTGTCACCCTTGTGCATTAATAATCTCCTAGTCTAGCACAGTGCCTAATAAAATGCATGGCTCTTAAGACTCTTAATCTGTTTACATCTTTCTTTACTGCCAAATCCCTTGGTTTTATTCTTGCTCCCTCCCCCAGTCTTCATACCATCCCTGATCTTAAACTAAACTACCAACTCATTTTTTAAACATTTCTCTTTGTCTTTGTCTATATTTCTGTGTTGTTGTTTTTCCCTCCCTTTAACCTTTTATTTGACAATGTCACAATTCCTTAAGGCTTAACTCAAAGCCCGTCCCAACTTTTGTAGGCGGAATTAATCACTCCCTCCCCTATAGTAATTTGTTCTTAGTTCCCAGTACATGCTTATCTTATATTCCGATTAGTTGAGGATAAAGGTTTGTTTTGTTCATCTTTGTGTCACTAGGTATTATGAATGTAATTGAATTTAATGTACATGGTCAACATTAATGGAGTTCTAGACTATTGTTTCCACATTACTATTTAATATGCATCTCTGACAATTTCAGATATTGTGGAGAACTCAAGTATAGGCAGTTTAGTGTAGTGAAGAGCATGAGATTTGAGACATCAGTATTTCAGGTGTACTATTTACTATATGACTTTGGGGAAAATAAATGATCTTTAAGTTAAAGTTATCTGTAAAATGGAAATAAAGATAACAGCTATTTTGCCTCCCTTATAGGATTGTGGTAAGAATTAAATGAAATCATGTATATGAAAATTCTCTATACATTCTAAAATGTTATGTAAATGTTGATAGCTGTTTCATTTCTCATGGATCTGCCCTACTTTTTATGTTTTCTTAGACCACGGCACAGCGTGGCAAGTTTAGAAAGCATTGTAAATGAAGCTAAGAACATTCCAGCCTTTCTACCCAATGTGCTGTCCCTGAAAGAAGCCTTACAGAAGGCTCGAGAATGGACAACTAAAGTGGAAGCTATTCAGGTAAGGAGCTTTCTGAATTCTCGGGTAACGCTCTTTCACAAGTGAATCCTTAAAGGCTTTACTTTTTTAGAATAGAAAAATCATAAAATAATATTGACTTGTTTTTGCATCTGATTTTATAATCTAAATAAATATTACCTGTTTAAACATTACTTATCTGTATTGACTCCCTGCTATAAAAGATGAGAGAATGAAGTAAGTGCTAGAGATAAAAAATTTGCTTGAATATATAATATTTCTTCTGAATTATACAAACCATTAAAACATGCACAATACTCAGGATATAAGTGCTCATTAGTATAGAGCTACACTCAAAGAAAAAGGAAACCAACTCTCTTTTACTGAACTGCTGCACCAAGAAAGAACATATTCTGTGTCAAGTTCTAATGACTTCTTTTTTATTTTATTTTCAGTTGACTTTGTTTCTGTGATCTGCTTAGCTGCCTTTCTCTCTATGTTGTTTTTAAAATTATCTCTTTATCAGGAAAGCTCCTCCATTTCACCTTTGACCTATTTCAGGCAATTGACTGTCCAATAATCCTGTCCTTACTTGGGTGTTCATTTATAAATTGGAGGGGAGGTCCTTCAGCCTGGCCTGCCCCCTCTCACAGACCGGGAGCCCTCAGGGGCGGGAGGTGACCCAGCTAACAGGGGAGGGCAATGCCCCCATCACACCTCTGCTCCTTCCACTGCCAGCAGCACAAGCCTTGGCTGGCCCTGGTTACGTGTGCTTCCAGCTGGCCCTGGGTAGCTGGGCAGCTGCCATCCGAGGCTTGCCTATGCCTTGGGCCAGCCCTGCCTGGTTGAGGGGACTGGGCACTGCCATCTTGTGGCTGTGGGCTCTGCCATCTTTGAGGGTGTGGCAATCAGTTAGCATATTTCCCCCTTATTGGCTGTGGGCACTGCCATCTTTGTGAGGGCGAGATTGTCAATTAGCATATTCCCTCTTTATTAGATAGAATGAAGGATTTAGGAAGTACAGGTAACTATCGATATTTTGAGTTCCCTCTAATTTTGAAAGACTTTTCCTCCAACAAACCCTTTCTTTCAGTGGGAGGACTGACTTGTAGACACTAAATAAGTGAACAGCTCTGTTCACAGGCAAACTCTTCTTTAGATACATAACTTGAGAGCAGGCTCTGTCCAGGCTTAGCCAGACGTATTCTGTAGTCAAATAGCTATAGTTTGCTACGGAGAGATTAGCAGTAATTAAGGTATTTCTTGACGTTATCTGTATCTAGGTTTTATTTTTCAATTAGCTGTCTGTTCTTATTCTAACACCATTCCAATTTAATTATACCATTTTAATACTTCAGGACGAGAACCTTATTACTCTTTTCCAAAGTTTCTTGCATGTTTATTTTTCCACGTTTCAGTATAACTTTCAAAATGAATTTGTAGGCAGTTGAGTCAGTTAATACATGGGAAGTGACCTTTAAAAAAAAAATACACACACACACACACACACACACACACACATATATATATATATATATAATATAATTGATTTTAGAGAGGAAAGGAGAGAGATAGAAACTTTAATGAGAGAAAATCATTGATTGGCTGCCTTCTGTAGGCCGACGCTCTTATCCACTGAGCCAAACCAGCTAGGGTGGGAAATAACCTTTTAATGAAAATATCAGTATTTAGCACATAATACTATGTATTTCCTTCATAGCCTCTGAATAGCAATGAATGTTATGGGACATATACAGTTTCCTATCAGAATGCTGACATGTTTATCTGCTAGCAGATTCATCCAATCTAAGATATCACTCAATTAATGTCTACAGGCTGCCAACCCACTTCAGGTGTTCTTACTAAGACCCTAAAATGGATTACTTGTTAACTCATATGTTGTAATGATTTAATTATTTAGTGAATTTAAAGTTATATATGAGTTTTAAAAACAATGACTTCATTACATGGAAATATTGAAACATGTGGCTTAGAAGGAAATTATCCATTCTTATCTGTGTTTGTAGAACATAAAATAGAGATAATTATCAGAACTAAAGCAACATTTTGTAGTTGTTGGAAAAATTGTGAAAGACTTTGAAACAGGTGAAAGAAATTACTGTATGTCTTTTTAATGGAATATTGGATGTTGTCTAGTGGACCCTCCACAATTATCTAATTTTAGTACTGTATATCTTAAATTATTTTTGATGAAGCTAATTTAACAACTCTGTCAGTTATTTTAAAATGATAGTGATACAAATGAATTATGTTCATAAATAAGCAATTACATTTGTCCTTGTATTTGAAACAATTGATTTCCATACCGTAGAAAAGGTAATTCCATTGTCCTGTATGACAGCAGTTGCCAACTGGTGGTCCTCGAGGTCCGAAAGGTTGGCGACTGCTGCTGTATGATAAACATCTGTTTCCATCTATTAGCAAATTCCTTTTCTCATTTTTAAAAAATATATATTTTATTGATTTTTTACAGAGAGTAAGGGAGGGAGATAGAGAGCTAGAAACGTTGATGAGAGAGAAACATCGACCAGCTGCCTCTTGCACACTCCCTACTGGGGATGTGCCCGCAACCAAGGTCCATGCCCTTGACCGGAATCAAACCTGGGACGTTTCAGTTCGCAGACTGACGCTCTACCACTGAGCCAAACCAGTTTCGGCTCCTTTTCTCATTTCTAATTGCACATATACGTCTGTTCTTACATTGTCCTTTGAACTGGTTTTTATATCTTATTGGTCCCCCCAAATTAAAATCTTTGATAACATGAATTTACTTAAAATTAAATTTATTGAGGTGATATTAATATATCATTTTCAAGTGTATAATTCTATACATAATCTGCATATTGTATTTGTACAAACTTTTTAAAAACAGTATCTATTAATTCAAGAGATAAAAAAGGTTTAAAGAATAATATTTAATTAAAAAATTCACTCTAAACTCCATAAGTGAATGCAAATTGTGTGAGGATATACTTTCGTTTTTCAGAGTGGTACCAACTATGCTTACTTGGAGCAGCTGGAGAGCTTATCTGCTAAAGGGCGTCCTATCCCTGTGCGTCTTGATGCATTGCCCCAGGTAGAATCACAAGTAGCAGCAGCTCGGGCGTGGAGAGAACGGACTGGGCGGACCTTTCTTAAGAAGAATTCTAGCCATACGTTGTTACAGGTAAAGAGTAGTTTAATTTATGGATACATACTTCAATCACCTCATCAGAAGTAGGGAGTAGTATTATTGTTTTCATTTTATCTGAACATGATTAAACAAGTGATTCCTATTAGGTATTATTAAATGTTGACTGACATTTGGAGCCTATGGCAAACTTATTTCTGGTTCCTCTTATGCTGTGTCAATTAGCCTGGATCTGCTGGACCTGTTGTTAATGGACTATGTCCCTGAAAGATCTTTCTCAGAAGCACATATTTAAATACTCATTACCCTTTTCATCTTGAGCATTTAAACATACTAATTGGTCAATATGGCAGGCAGTGCAGGTAAACATGGTACTTGGCTTCCTTCCTCCCACAACCATGTTAAATCACAACTAAACTATAGAACAACCATCATTCAGAACCATTTGAAATTCAGCTTAGTGGAAGTCCTCCAAGTAGGGAAATAAAGAAGAAGCCCCACTGAAACTGTTGGGGGGGCAGAGACACAGAATGGGCTGGTCCCACACCCACATGTGTCGGATAAAAATCAGGAGGGGTATCTTAGCTGCAGAGGTTCCCACTGAGGAACAAGAGATCCTGTGCCATGCTAGCACAGCCAATGGTTTGGTGAGCCTGAGGGAGGGCGGCGAAGGATTGAAGAAGCTGGATATCCTGTGCCTGGCTAAGGCCACAGAAAGATCCAGCCAGCAAGCTGAGCCTTTATTTTATAGTCAGAGGTAAACAAGGTAGTGGTCACTAGTTATAATGTTCTTGTGAGTTTCACTTGTTTTAGCAGCTCTTGCTGCTTCTCGCACAGCCCATTAGCTACCCAGATAAGATCTAGGGAGTATCATAAGGTCAGGCTTAATTATGCTAAGAGGGCTGTGCCCTCTAAGCTGGGACTTGTTTGTGGCTTTCCCAACAGGTCAGTCCAAGGCTTAACCTTATAGCTGTTTCCTACACCAGGTTCCATCCCCACACTAGGTCCCCCAGCCCAAGTTCCAATGCTGGAAGAGAAGTCACCATAACTTCAGGCCATAGAAAACTGGCAGGGATTGAGGCTGAGGGGAGACTCCTGGAATTGCAGGCAATTAGCCCTGCATAAGAACTAACTCAGACTCACTTTCTCTGATCTCCAACAGTGGCTTATGCATATGAAAGGCCTTCTCTAATGCAGTTTAACCTAGCAAACTTGCAACCCGGTACAGACAGCTCCAAAGCCTCCAACCTCCAAGCAGGGAGTAGAGGACTGTGGTTCTCACTGTAGCTCCTGCAGGGTGACCTCCGACAGTAGATGAACTGCACCCCATTGGAGATCCAGAAGCCAGTGTGCCCAGTGGTCAGTGTAAGACACCAGATTTCAATTCCTTATATCCATAACTGACACATTCGGGAGGTGGACTTTGAGCACCAAAGCCCCACTGAAACAAGGCCTGCACCATAAGCATGTCTCCAATGCAGCACTTCTTTCATTATAGACACAGCAGGTCCTCATAGCCAATTGGCCTGGAAATCAGTTCCTCCCAGTGTATCAACAGCAATCAGGGCTTAACTACACTAAGACTTTGCACTCAGCCCACAAAGGGGTGTACCAACAGTGACCACCTCAGCTGATTGGGAAAGCAGAGCTACTGGCCCCTATAGGTCACGTACCACACAAAGCCACTCCATCAACACAGGGAGGCAGCCAAAATTCTGAGACACAGAAGCATGTTACGAATGGGAGAGATGGAGGAAAGTAAACTACTGGACAACACAGAGTACAGGACCACATTTATAAGGTTACTCAAGAATCTTCTAAAAACTGCTGAGAAACTTGAAGAGACCTTCAAGGACCTTAATGAGAATGCCAAGGAAATGGAAAGGGACCAGTCAGAAATTAAGCATACACTGTGTGAAATAAAAAATACGATATACAGAAACTCAACTGTAGATGAATGTATCCCAAGAGTCAAACCAAAGATCTGGAATATGAGGAAGCAAAAAACACCCAACCAGAGAGGCAGAAAGAAAGAAGAATCCAAAACTGTGAAGATAGTGCAAGGAGCCTGTGGGACAGCTTTAAGCTTACCAACATCTGGATTTTTGGGGTGCCAGAAGAAAAGAGAGAGCAGGATATTGAAGGCCTAAAAAAATAATGACAGAAAACTTTCCCTACCTGGTGAAAGAAATAGACTTACAAGTCCAGGAAGTGCACAGAACCTCAAACAAAAGGACTCCAAAGAGGACCACACCAAGACACATCATAATTAAAATGCCAAGAGCAAAAGACAGAGAATCTTACAAGCAGCAAGAGAAAAACAGTTACTCAAGAATCTTCTAAATACCCATACGACTGTCAGCTGATTTCTCAACAGAAAGTATGTAGGCCAGAAGGAAGTGGGAAGAAATATTCAAAGTGATGAACAGCAAGAACGTACAACCACGATTACTCTATCCAGCAAAGCTATCATTCAGAATTGAAGGTCAGATAAAGAGCTTCACAGATAAGAAAAAGCTAAAGGAGTTCATCACCACCGAACCAGTATTATATGAAATGCTGAAAGGTATTTTTTAAGAGGAAGAAAGAGTAAAGATAAAAATTATGAACAACAAATACATGTTTAGAAATAAGTAAATCTAAAAAGTGAATTAAAAGTCTGATGAACAGAATAAACTGGTGAATAAGATCAGTGGCATAGAAAAGGAATGGACTGACAATTCTCAGGGGGAAAGGGGTGTGAATGATGCGGGAAAAGACTGAACCTAAATAGATATTTTTCAAAAGAGGACATACAGAGGCCAAGAGACATGAAAACATGCTCAAAGTCACTAATCATCTGAGAGATGCAAATTAAACAATAATGAGGTACCATCTTAGACCTGTCAAAATGGCTATCATCAACAAATCAACAAACAAGTGCTGGCGAGGATGTGGAGAAAAAAACCCCATGTACTGCTGGTGAGAATGCAGACTGGTGCAGCCACTGTGGAAAACAGTATGGAGTTTCTTCAAAAAGTTAAAAATGGAACTTCCATTTGAACCAGTAATACCAATTCTAGGACTATATCCCATGAAAACAGAAACACCAATCAGAAAGGATATATGCACCTCTATGTTCATAGCAGCATTATTTACACTAGTTAAGATTTGGAAACAGCCTAAATGCCTATTAGCAGATGAGTGGATTACAAAACGGTGGTATATCTTCACAATGGAATACTATGCTGCTATAAAAAAGAAAGAATTCTTATAATTTGCAACAGCATGGATAGAACTGGAGTGCATTATGCTAAGCGAAATAAGCCAGTCAGAGAAAGATAAATATCACATGACGTAACTCATTTTTGGAATATAATGAACATAAACTGATGCACAAAAATAGAACCAAAGACATAGAAGCATTGAATAGACTGTCCAATCTATGATGGAAGGCAGCAGGTGAGGAAGTAAAAGACCAACCAAAGGACTTGTATGCATGCATAACAATGGACACAGACAGTAAGGTGGTGAGGGAATGTGCTGGGGGGTGGAAGTGTCCAGGGAATGGTCAATGGGGGAAAAAGGAGACTCATGTAATACTTTAAACAATAAATAAATAAATAAATAAATAAATAAATAAATAAATAAATAAAAGCTAATTATTTCAGAATATTTATGGAGATGTAATATATAGTATAGGGAATATCCTATGTATTATAATAAGAGGAATATCCTAATTATCCATTATGTTGTGAGGCGTATCGACTGACTGTCTAACGACCGGATCACAGATCTGCAGGAGGGTGAGGCAGCGAACTACAAGTGTGTGGCGGAGATCTACAGGAGGGGTCAGGGTGGCAAGCTATGAGGGGGCGGTGGGGGGAGCTACAGGAGGGTGGCAGCGATCTACTAGCCCATGAATTCATTCACAGGGCTACTGGTAGTCAATCATATCCTAATAGCTCTGTATCGTGTCAGATGGGTTCAAGGTTTATCAGGATGATCACTTAGTAAGTTATAGAATGTCTAATTACTGGGGTGTATACCTTTAATTAATATAGTAATGTATGTGGTCTATAATTGAAAATAAAAAAAATGATAAATAGTAGTTAAGGGCATAGGCATTGAAATATGATAGTTTCATGTTTGAGGACTGGCTCCCTAATTACTAAACCTGTGTCCTTGGGCAAATTTTTCCTTTCTGAGCTTCAGTTTCCCGTTTGTAAAATATAGACAATACTTCAGAGGGCTGTTTTCTTTAATTGAATTAGGTAATTTGTGTTAACCCCTTAAGAAAGTGCCCAGGACTTGGTGAGTAGTCAATAAATGGTTCCTTTTATTTTCAGTTTTAAGAATTTTTTTTTTTTTTTTAAACCAGAGCTCAGTATATGGCTTTATTTTTGTAGGTGCTAAGTCCCCGAACTGACATTGGTATATATGGGTGTGGTAAAAACAGAAGGAAAAAAGCAAAAGAACTAATAGAAAAAGAAAAAGAAAAGGATCTGGACCATGAGCCACTGAGTGATCTGGAGGAAGGAATGGAGGAAACCAGAGATACAGCCATGGTGGTAAGAAATTATGATATGCATTTTGACTTTGTACGGTGAATACAAAATTCTGTGAAGATATTAGCGCATTCATTGTTTTGATGTTTTTAACTGTCTTTATTTTTATACTAGAGACCTGGTGCACAAGATTCATTCATGGGGAGGAGGGTCCCTTTAGCCCAGCCTGCACCTTCTGCAATCTGGGACCCCTTGGGGGATGTCCAACTGATGGTTTTGGCCTGAACCCGCAGTTGAACATCCCTTTTACAATCTGGGACTGCTGACTCCTTACTGCTCACCTGCCTGCCTGCCTGCCTGCCTGATTGCTCCTAACTGCCCCCTCCCCCGCCGGCCTGGTCACCTCCAACATCCTCATAGTAACAACCATAGTGGTTATCATATACTTTACAAAGTGTTCCCTCCAAGAGTCCAGGTACCCACCTGGTACCATACATAATTATTACAATATTGTTACCAAATGATCCTATTTTGAGGTCAGCAGAAATGATTTCTCATTAGGGAGCCTGCCTAACATGTTTTCTTACCAGTTAAATAGAATAGGAAATAATTTCAAAACTATAAAAGTTTAAAAAGAAAATACTGACAATATTAATGACAGTTAAATATTATTTGCTTTCATTTTCTTTTTTGAAATGAGCTACATAAAATCTTGTTATAATTGGTCATCAGGCTGTGTCATTCTACTATTACATAAATGCCTTCTAGAAAGAAATAAGAATTGATTTGTATTGAACTTCCTCTTAGGGAATGAATTGCCAGTGTATGGGAAACTAGTATTTATTGTTTACCTTGGGCCAGGCATCAAGTTAAACATTTTGATGCGTTATTTTATTTATTCCTTAAAACAACAAAATGAGTTTGGTGGTATCCTCATTTTTTCAGAAAATTGTGATTCAGAAAACTTTCGCCTAAGATCAACAATATATAAATATAAGAGCCAAGCTTCATACTTAGGTTGCTTGACTTCAAGGCATATTGTCTACTGCACCCAACAAAGAATTGAAAGTACTCTACTGATGAAATTGTCAAATATGGTAGCATTTTGCCCATTTCACACAGGATTGTTTACATGGAAACTGTCACACTGCCCCACATTTTAGGAAGTGATTGACAACTGATTTTTTTTAAAGGACAATGCTTTGTTATTAGAAGGTCACGACTTGGAGATGATCCCTCAGCCTTAAGGATTTGGTATTTTTTGAGTATTCTGTAGTGACTCCTTTCTTTTAAATGTTCTTTGTGTGCAGGTGGCAGTTTTCAAAGAACGAGAGCAAAAAGAGATTGAAGCCATGCATTCCCTCAGAGCAGCCAATCTAGCCAAGATGACAATGGTGGACCGCATAGAAGAAGTAAAATTTTGCATTTGCCGCAAGACAGCCAGTGGATTTATGCTGCAGTGTGAGCTCTGCAAAGACTGGTTCCATAATAGCTGTGTTCCCCTGCCTAAGTCAAGTTCCCAGAAAAAAGGGTCTAGTTGGCAGGCTAAGGAAGTAAAATTCCTTTGCCCTCTTTGTATGCGGTCTCGAAGGCCAAGGCTAGAGACTATTCTATCACTACTAGTATCCCTTCAGAAGTTGCCTGTACGATTGCCTGAAGGAGAAGCCCTACAATGTTTGACAGAACGTGCTATGAGTTGGCAGGATAGAGCCCGGCAGGCTCTAGCCACAGATGAACTGTCTTCTGCCCTGGCCAAACTGTCTGTGTTGAGCCAGCGTATGGTGGAGCAGGCAGCTCGAGAAAAAACTGAAAAGATCATCAGTGCGGAACTCCAAAAAGCAGCTGCCAATCCAGATTTACAGGCAAGTTCAGGGTTTTCTTGTTTTATTTCTTGAGATAATGTTTGTCAGAGTGTAAGTAGTAAATCAAATCTATCTTACCAATTGATTAGGAATTGATTAAGTTGCCAGCAGTTAGATTATCCATAATGTCTTCTTTTTATATAAGCCCATAGGATTTTGAATATATATGTAAATCATTTTAGTGAAAAATTATTTGGAAATAATATTCAGGTGGACCTTGGTATCATGGTCAAATGATTTGCTCTGTACTAACTGGTGAACTCTGTTAGCCACTTTGCAAGTTCATTACATTTTGGTAGTTGTAATCACATAGTACCCATGTTTATTCATTGTGTCTCTCTGTTCATCCTGAAACTGTTGTTCAGGGACACTTACCTAGTTTCCAGCAGTCTGCTTTTAACCGGGTGGTGAGCAGCGTATCTTCTTCCCCTCGACAAACAATGGAGTATGATGACGAAGAAACAGATTCTGATGAAGACATTCGGGAGACATATGGCTATGACATGAAGGTAATTACATGGCCAGGTGTGTGGGTTTATATCTGATCACTAGGTTTAAAAAGATGTTTGAAGTAATAGAAGAGAAAGCTAGTAACCTATTTATATTAATGGTGATAGCATTTTTTTTTTTTTCAAAGCTCCAAAAAATATAGATTGATGACGAAATAACAGGTTTGTTTGTTTTTTAAGAGTGGAATTTTAAAGTTTATTTTTTTCACCTTGTATCTTTTTAGGGCTTAGAGGGACTAGCAAAACTATTCATTTATTATAGTTACTGAAAGTTTTCATGGCTGATTAGTTTTTTTTTTTTTTTTGATTGTTACCATCTATCTAGTTATTATTATTATTTTTTTTTTTTTGAAATTCCATTGTATCTTGCTTAAAACAGAGTTCACTTTGTTTTAATCTCTCATCTGGATAGTGCTAGATTGAATATCATAGTCAGAGATTGGTTACACTTGGCCTTACGGTTTGAATTTGCAGTTACAGTTGCAGTTAGAATATATTATTTGCCCTTAATATGATTATTTTGATAATGATACCACATTGTGAAGAGAAAGTTTTGGCAAGTTTGTTTTGTGTTGGTTTTATTGGCCTTTTATTGTTATTTCATGTCAGGCCCAAATTCTTGTCGTTTACCTAGTAATAATATTTGTTCTATTTACAATCTGTGCCTATAACCAGGGAAGTTTGTGCTCTTTTGTATGAAAACCTAGGGTGCAATCTTTTCCTTACCTTTTAACTATCCTTTTTGGTCTTTGCAGAATGCAAATAAGGTAGATAAGCTCGTTCTTAGAGCAATGAATATCATCAGCATTGAATTTCCAGAATATAAAATTAAAACCACCCATCATAGATGCTTGTAAATTATTTTGCTGGAAATATTTTTTTCAAGATAAAAATGGATCCGGGGGCCCCAGCCTGGTCGCTTGGTTATTTGGAGCATTATCCTGTACACCAAAAAGGTTGTGGGTTCGATTCTTGGTCAGGGCCCATACCTAAGTTGCGGGTTCAATATCCAGCTGAGCAGGTATGGGAAGCAACCTATCGAAGTTTCTCTCTCTCACATCAATGTTCTCCCTCTTCTTTTTCCTCTCCTTTCTTCTTTCCTCTCTCTTCCTCCCAAGTCAATAAATATATCCTCAGATGAGGATTTAAAAAGCAGTGGATTCAGGAGATGTTTTAATGAGGAAATTTATAGTTGTATAAAATAAATACTTGAGAAAAGTTGAAACTTGAATTATCCTGTTAAAGTAAGGTCTGAGTACCTTGAAGTTATCCTAAAGTTAATGACCATCTTTGTTTGTATAGAATGACTAGGAGCACCTTTAAGGAAATGCAGCCCAAGCCACATATAAGTTAGTTACTTAATACTAGAATTGCCTGTTTGCCATAACTTAGAGGCCTCCAATACTTGGATTATCTTTCTAGCACATTAAAAACCAACCACTACTATAGAATTGCTAAATAGGATGGGCTTTGCTTGGAAGCAGATTGGTAATCTGTGAATACAAAACATCACAAGTATTACATGACTTCAGGGCTAGGGATCAAAACTATAGTTTGATATGGTTGTAAGCAGTAGTAGTCCTTTCCTGTAAAATTTATATGTGAGTCTCAACCTAGTTTCTATTTTGATCTGGGGGTGTTGACAACGTGAAGAATAAAATTATAGATTTTATAGTGTTAACAGTGTTTGACAGCTTGAAAACTGGAAGAATGGTGGCAAGACTTAATGGCAATTCAAAGTAAAAGTTACCTGGAAATAGGTATTTTTGCATTAAAAAAATTATATATTGAGTATTTTCCCACAGAACAAACAGTAATGAAAATTATATTTGGCAATTTATGTGCATTTGGCTTGGTGATTTTTCCCTTTGATGTTCCCTGGTTATGTCTCCATGAATTCATCCTTGAAATAGGTTGAGTTTAATGTCTTGACTTAAGGAAGAGTCCCATACTGGTTTAGGAAGAAGAGTACATAATTATGTAGAAAAATCAAATCAATCATTTGATCTTATTGTAGTATTTATATTTTTTAATTTTAATTTTTAAAATATATTTTATTGATTTTTTTTTTTTTTTTTTTTACAGAGAGGAAGGGAGAGAGATAGAGAGTTAGAAACATCGATGAGAGCAACATCGATCAGCTGCCTCCTGCACACCCCCTACTGGGGATGTGCCCGCAACCAAGGTACATGCCCTTGACCAGAATCGAACCCGGGACCCTTCAGTCCCCAGGCCAACACTCTAGCTTCTGAGCCAAACCGGTTTCGGCTTACTGTAGTATTTAAATGTTTAGAACAGATGATTTATGCCTTGCATTGTTTATTTCATTTTGTATGGCATTCTGTTATCACCACTAAAACACTCTGAGCAGCAATTTAAGAACTTTATTAATTAGGAAATATATATTTAATGAAGCAATATGTCAGATCTTTTGTGATTGTGTCTTGGATAACCTTTCAGATATTTGTATAATTACTCCCTTTTAAGGCATATTCTTTACCTTTACTGAAATTATTTATTCATATTATAGTTATATTTTACAAATGAAAAATGTTCAGAATTACAAATATATGCAGAATTACACATTAGAAAGAAGGGTATAAAAGAGTAGTAATTATTATCTTCCAGGAAGTTCTTTTTTGTATGTCAGTACTTGTTTACTTTAGAGAAAGACAAGTTAAATATTAAATTCTTTTATTTTTTAATTCTTACCTTTGTTAATACTTGGGGTTGGCTTGCGCTTTGTGGAAATAGAGTAGATTTTGTCTTGACTTTAGTCTGACCTAGTACCAGATAAGATGGAGTGATAGATCTTTATATAAAACCCATTTCTCACTGAGAGGCTATTCCATCTTCCATATTTGCCATTGGTGGGACTGAACTATAATTTTCCAACGTAGGAAGAGTAATTCGTTTAAGCTTGCTATTTATCAACCTATCTGTGTCCTTTAAAAAAAAACAAACACACCTTTATTGTGAGAGTATTATAGATGTCTCTCTTTTTCCTCCCACTACTCCCCTTTTCCTAGTTCCCACCCCACTTCAGGCCTTTGCCACCCTATTATCTATCCATAGGTAATGCATATATGCATGTAAGATCTTTGTTTAATCTCTTCCCACCTCTCCACCCCCCCCCTTCCAACGGAGAATTGTCATTCTGTTCCATCTCCATGCCTCTGATTCTATTTTATTCACCAGTATATTCTGTTTATTAGATTTATTATTTATTTTTACTTTTAGATTCAATTGTTGATAGATAATGTATCAATTGCCCTTTTATTGTTCATTTTGTTATTGTTAATCTTCACCTGAGGATATTTTTCCATTGATCTTTTAGAGAGAGTGGAACAGAGAGGAAAAGATAGAGAGAAACATTCATGTGAGAGACACATCAATTGGTTGCCTCCTGCAGGTACCCTGACCAGGGCCTGGGCTGGGGAGAAGCCTTTAATTGAGATATGTACCCTTGACTGAAATTGAGTCCAGGACCCTTTGGTCCAGAGGCCGATGGTCTGTCCACGGAGCCAAATCGGCTGGAGCTATTGTTGATACTTTTCATCTTTTACTTTTTCTTCTTCTTCCTTTTCTTAAACAATACCCTTCGACATTTCATGTAATACTGGTTTGGTGGTGATGAACTGCTTTAGCTTTTTCCTGTTTGTGAAGCTTTTTTATTTGACCCTCAATTCTAAATGATAGCTTTGCTGGGTAGAGTAATCTTGATTGTAGGTCCTTGCTATTCATCACTTTGAATATTTCTTGTCACTCCCTTTTGGCCTACATAGTTTCTGTTTAGAAATCAGCTGGGGGCGCTCTTGTAGGTAACTAACTGCTTTTCTCTTGCTGCTTTTAAGATTCTCTCTTTGTCTCTAACCTTTTACATTTAATTATGATGCATCTTGGTGTGGATCTTTTTGGGTTCCTCTTGTTTTGTACTCTGTGCTTCCTGGATTTGTAAGTCTCTATTTCTTTCACCAGGTAAGGGAAGTTTTCTGTCATTATTTCTTCAAATAGTTTTCAATATCTTGCTCTTTCTCTTCTCCTTCTGGCATCCCTATAATGTGAATGTTGAGAAGCTTAAAGTTGTCTCAAAGGCTCCTTACACTATCTTTATTTTTTAATTCTTTTTGTTGTTCTGATTGGGTGTTCTTTGCTTCCTCATATTCAAAACCATTGATTTGATTTTTGGAATCTTCTGTTGAATCCCTGTAAGTTATTCTTTATTTCAGTTAGTGTATGTTTAATTTTTGACTACTCCTTTTCCATATCTTTAACATTATACTAAGATCTTTGAAAGTCTCACTAAGTCTGTTGTAGGTCTGATGAAGATCCTTGAGTAACCTTATAACCGTGGTTTGCTTTCTTTCATTTCTTTTATTTGTGACATGTTGCTTTGTCTCTGCATTCTGGCTGCCTCACTGTTTGCTTTTATGTATTGGATAGAGCGGCTATGTCTCCTGGAATTGGTAAAGTGGCCTTGTGTAGTAGTTATCTTATAGGGTCCCAGTTGCTCAGCCTCTCCAGTCACTTGAGCTGGGCACTCTAGGTGCAGCCCTTTGTGGGTTGAGTGCAGTCTTATAGTTGAGACTTGGTTGCTGTTGGTATCACTGGAAGGAATTGACCTCCAGGCCAATTGGCTGTGAGGACCAGCTGTGACTACAGTGGGAGAAACACCCTTATGGAACAGGACTTGCTTCAGTGGTGGTTTGGTGCTCACTAAGTCTGCCCCTTGAGTGTGTCATTTGTGGATGTGTGGACTTATAATCTGCTATGGTCTGAAGCTGTCCAACAGGTGCAGGCAGGTGCAGAATCAGCCATTGCCTGGGGCCACCTGGCAGGAGTTACAGAGAGATCTGCAGATTCCTCCTATTTGTATCAGGTTTGGAAATACCCAGGTGAGACCCAGCTGTGAAGTTAGGCAGGCTGGTAGTGGTGCTGGATCTTGGGCCTTTTATTGATAAATTTAGGGCATACTGATACCAGTTGCAGCTTTTTTTTTGAGAGATTTTAGCAAAGTCTAAGCCTGAGCTAGGACAAGCCATTCCTATCCAAAAGCTGTTGTAAACAGCTTGGGTAGGGCTGAAAATTGGATTGGACAGGGTATCAGAGAATCACCAGAGCAGAGCAAACAGTATATTCCAGGTTGATGGGGACTCATATGGTTGCCAGTCAGCTGTAGGACAGGGGAGTTCTTGGCTTAGGAACAATGTCCTATGTGAACACCTCCGTCTGGTAGCAAGCTGCTCCCAAGTTCCTGCCCTGGTGCCAGACAATCCAGTTTTTCCCCTTATGTGTCTGGGTCCCCTAACTTCTCCTAGTGCTGGAATCAAGTTTAAGTAAGTTTGTGCCTGGCCCTTTAAGAGGAACATCTGAGTCTCTGTGTCTCTCGGTCACAATCCCCAGTTTTTATAGTCTGAAATTTATGGGGACTTTTCTTTCCAGCTCTAGGACCTGGGTTGGAAGGCAGTCTGGTGTGGGGCTGGGATCCTTTGCTCTTCATGGTGGCCTTTGCAGGGACGATCTCCCTCTGGATTATAAAAACAGCCACATGGGTGCTGGATCAGCTCGATCCATGCCATTATCACTCTTAACAGTTTCAATGTGCTTTCTTCTTTACTTCTCTAGTTGTAGGACTTCCATTCAGCTAGCTTTCAGGTGGTTCTGAGTGATGGTTGTTCTATATATTAGTTGTAATTTTGACATAGTTGTGGGATACTGTGAGTACTGGCATTTACCTATGCTGCCATCTTGGTTTCTTCTATCTGAGTCTTCATATTTAAAATGTGTATCTTGAGATAGCATGTAATAAGGTCCTTTCTTGTTTGTATTGTGCATATATATGTAATTGTAAAATATATGGTTGAGTCTTGTTTTGTGTCTGTGTTTTAAGTAACATGATCAGTGTTCTCATTGGGGTTGTTTAGTCTGTTTACATTTACCGTAATATATCGATAATTGTTGACATGATTAAGTTTTAAGTTGGCCATCTTGCTATTTATTTTTATTTAATATATTTTTATTGATTTCAGAGAGGAAGGAAGTGGGAGAGGAAAAAACAACAATGATGAGAGAAAATCATTGATTAACTGCCTCATGCATGCCCACACTGGGGATTGAGCCTGCAGCCCGGGCATGTGTCCTGGCTGGGAATTGAACCGTGACCTCAGGGTTCATAGGTCGATTCTCAACCATTGAGCCACGCCAGCTATTTATTTTTTTATTGAGCCTCCCCCATTTTTTTTGTTCCTCTATTAGTCTTTTATTTTATTTTTTATTGGTTTCTTATATCTTTTACTTTTTTATTTTTTCAGTGTTTCCTCGAGGGCTAACAATTTATCTTTAACTTATCAAAGTCAATATTGTACCTCTTCACATTTCATACTTCACTTGGGAAAGTAATTTTTAAAACTTTTTCTTTTTACTTATTATTTTTCTTCATTATCTCCTGTTTATCATCATTTCCACTTTGAAAGCCTAACAAAGTTTCCTGCTTGAGTTACAATGAAACGAGTAGAATCAAGGTCAGAAAAGAATTCCAGTTCTAGTCAGGGAGAAGCAGGGAAAGGCAGCATCTGGAACTAAAGTACTGTCTGTTGCTTTTTAAATTTGTTTGAATAGGGAAGAAGATAATGAACTGCTATTCTTAAATTTTCAGTGAGTGGCATTATCTTCCAGAATCCTGTTATAAAACCTTTTAAGTATCTTGCTTACTTAAGGATAATCTCATGTACCCTACAAGGAGAATCAGATGTTATATTAGTCATTAAGCTTTTGTCTTTCTCCTATCTCACTCTTTTATAATTTTTTGTATTGCTGGGGAATATGACCCTATACCAGGTGTTTGTAAACTTTTTCTGTGAAGTAATAAAATATATTATTAATATTTATTAATATGTAATATATTAATTATTTTAGACTTTGAGAGCCACAAGTGGTTCTAATTTATAATGCCCTCTTTGTTTCTTCTTCAGGACACAGCCAGTGTGAAGTCCTCCAGTAGTCTGGAACCCAATCTTTTTTGTGATGAAGAAATTCCCATCAAGTCTGAGGAGGTGGTCACTCACATGTGGACAGCTCCTTCATTCTGTGCAGAACATGCTTATTCTTCTGCTTCTAAGAGTTGTTCTCAAGGTATTACTCTTTAAAACAGTGTGGAAAAGATTAGCCTGAAACCAGTGAGAAAAAAACCACTGTATTAATCAAGACTGTGAATCCCTCTTAAATATATAATCTTTGCCATGAAATTTTATTAGAACCTGAAAATGTCCCATTTTCTGTCATTAGGTGATAATCTGAAAACTTACATATAATTATTGAATTCTAATTAGAAGAACTTTAGAGGGCATCTAGTCTCATCTCTCATTTTTATAAAATTTCTGATAAGGAGTCATTTAGTCCTTTTTGTTTTTGTTCATTACCAGTTCCTAAGGAACTTGTTGCTTTTTAAGAATATTCATTCCAGTTTCGGAAAGCTATAATTGTTAGAAAGTTTTTCTTTTTCTTTTATATAACTTCTCTGTTATGTTCACTTTTTTCCCAGTGAAAGTAAGTCACATTGCTTTAGGTTACACCTCTGAAAATGGAGAGTGTTCATCTCTTCATAGTAAAATTCAGAATTTTATGGGACAGTGTATTACAATTGACCTTTGAACAGTGTAGGGATTAGGGGCACTGACTCACCATGCAATAAAAAATTAGCAAGTAATTTAAGTCAGCCCTGTGGATACACAGATTCCCAGTCTCAGATAAAAAATACAGTTTATCTGCTCTGGTTGGCGTATCTCAGTGGTAGAGCCTTAGCCCGTGCACCTAAGGATCATAGGTCTAATTCCCAGTCAAGGGCATGTGCCTAGGTTGCAGGTTCGATCCTTGGCCCTGGTCAGGGCACAGGTGGGAGGCAACCATTTGATGTCTCTCTCACATAGATGTTTCTCCCTCCCTGTCTCCCATCCCTTCCCTCCCTCTCCTTTCTGCCTCCCTTCTTCCTTCCCTTCCATTCTCTAAAAATCAATAATAAAATATTCTTGGCTGAAGATTAATAAAAACAAGCAAAAAAAAAAAGTTGACCCTTGAATGTGAACTGCACAGGTCCATCAATTTTAAAATCTGCTTTAAAGTGTACACAGTTATCCATATACAAGTGGGCCATGATCTATGTAGTTCAGACCTGCCTGTCCAAGGGTCAGCTATGTTTGTTGTCTGTTCATTAGAAAAATAATCGCTTATATAGGGCAGGTATATGCTTAATCTGTTGGTATCCTCTAAAAAGGAGAGAGAACATGGATTAAGAGATTATTTTCTAATAGAGGCCTGATGCACAAAATTTGTGCAAGAGGCTTGGCCCTTGCAGACCTGGCTTGCCTCAGCCCTCGCAGCCCCAGCTTCGTCCAGAAAGTTGTCTGGAAGGTCATTTGGCTGTCTGGTCTAATTAGTATGTTATGCTTTCATTATTATAGATTCCCCTATTCCTTCAGTCACAGGATGAACAATAAAGAACCAGTTTTGTACTCTAAACCAGTATTTTAGAGTGTATTAGAATTCTAAATATTTTTGTTCCATATTTGTTTTAAATTTCATTTTCACTTTAATAATGATGCAATCAATCAGAATGTCTAGCTGAAACTGGTTGGCTCAATGGATAGAGCGTCGGCCTTGAGATTGAAAGGTCCCGGGTTTCATTCCAGGCAAAGGCATGCAGGCATATTCCCAGTAGGGGGTGTGCAAGAGGCAGCTGATCGATGATTCTCTACTATCGATGTTTCTAACTCTCTATCCCTCTCTCTTCCTCTCTGTAAAAAATCAATAAAATGTATTTAAAAAAAAAAAAAAAAAAAAAGAATGTCTAAATTTTTGGGAGTGAAAGAACCATTCCCCTAATTATTTGCTTTAGAAACATTACATTTTTTTCATAGTTTTCATTTCTATTTTGTCTTATAAATTTTTGGAAAGGTTCTAGCACCCCAAGGAAGCAGCCACGGAAGAGCCCTTTGGTGCCCCGAAGTTTAGAACCTCCAGTGTTGGAGTTGTCACCTGGAGCTAAAGCCCAGCTAGAAGAACTTATGATGATTGGAGATCTCCTGGAAGTATCTCTAGATGAAACTCAACACATATGGCGGATTTTGCAGGCTACACACCCACCCTCTGAAGACAGATTCCTGCATATCATGGAGGTATGGATTTAAAGCCTACTAAAATAGGGAATGTAAAACTTTAGAATGCCCAAGTTCTTTGGAAGGACCATAAATGCTGGCAAGGTGAGATGGCTGAGTGAGTAGTAGTCTGGCTGTCCTATTTTCTAATTAATCCAAAGTAGTTCTTTTTTCTGATTTTCTTTATTGAAAATTCATGTGATATGTAATTTTTGGGAAAATAAACCATTACTGCTAAAAAGAAAGGGGGGGTACCCTGAAACTCTGCCCCATCCAAGCTGAACACAGAGACTTTTGCAATTTTCCAAGTCTAGTCGAATAAGGCTCGCCCAGCATAGGCACAGCTGATCCTCCCAACCAATTGGCCTGGAGGTCAGTTCCTCCTAGTGATACCAATAGCAATCAAGGCTTAACTATTAGGTCTAGTAATAATTAATGTCGTTTTCTAATACTTTTTTAAATCGAATTTATTTAAACAATACAACAAAATTTAATCAACAATATAGTTGCCGTTGTTTTCTACTACTTGTGCCCAACGCTCAGGAAGCATTTTAATCCCTCTGTTGTAAAATTCTTGTGATTTTGATGCAAAAAATTCGGTCAATGCATTTTTGAGGCATTCTTCATTATTAAATTTTTTTCCAAGAAGAAAGTTTTGCAAAGAACGAAACAAATGGTAATCGGAAGGGGCAATATCAGGAGAATATGCAGGTTGAGGGAGAACTTCCCATTCCAACTGGCGCAGTTTTTCAGCAGTGATTCTTGCAGTATGCGGTCGTGGGTTATCGTGGTGAAGAATTACGCCCTTGCGATTAATCAGCGTGGGTTCTTTTTCTCTTAAAGCTTGGGCTAACCTTTCCAATTGGGCACTATACACAGCACTTGTAATGGTTTGGTTAGATGGTAAAAGTTCATAATGAAGAATTCCTTTAAAATTCCACCAAACACACAACATCACTTTTTTCGCATGCAAGTCAGGTTTTGGCGTGGGCTGCGGAGCCTCATTTTTGTCCAACCATTGAGGCCGCATTTTCAAATTAACATACAGCACCCATTTTTCATCTCCGGTAATAATTTGCTCTAAAAACGGCAAACGGTTTTGACGAGAGAGGAGCGAACTGCAAATTGTGACTCTTTGATTACGGTTGTTGTCGGTCAACTCATGAGGAACCCATTTTCCAAACTTTTGGACTTTGCCAAGTGCACGCAATTGATTGGAAATTGTTTTTTGTGAACAATTTAAAGTTGTCGGAAGCTCTTGTTGGGTAATTTGAGGATTTTGCACCAAAAGAGCTTGAAGAGCTTCTTGATCAAAATTGGACACACGGCCTCGACCACTCTTGTCATCTAACGAAAAATTTCCCTTGCGAAATTTCTCAAACCAACGCTGGCATTTTCTGGCGCTAACTACATCTTGACCAAGAGCACTACAGATGTTTTTTGCAGCCTCACTTGCTTTTCTTCCTAATTGGAACTCGTAAAGCATGCAGTGCCGAATATGCTCTTCATCTGCCATCTTCTTAGCCCTAGTTTTGCAACAAAAACCAAACCAAACACAAACTTTTTCAAGCAAAACTTGTTAATTGCACTTCACACGTTCTGTAGATAACACGTGTTTGAAGGTTATGTCAATACAAGTCAACGCCAAGCAAGATTTTAAACGAATGTTTAAAAACGACATTAATTATTACTAGACCCGATACAATAAGGCTGTACACACAGTCCACAAAGGGTTGCACCAAGAGTGTCCACCTCAGGTAATTGGGAGAGACTGACCCACTGAACCATATAGGACACCTTAGCACACAAAGCCACCCTACCAACTCAGGGAAGCTGCAAAAATGCCGAGACAAGGAAACAGATCACAAACGAAATAAATGGAAGACAAAAAGCGACTGGATATAGAGTTCAAAACCACGGTTATAAGGTTTTTCAAGAATTTCCTAGAAAAGGCCGATAAAATAAATGAGACGTATGAGGATATGAAAAGGGATCAACTAGAAATAAAAAGGGATCAACTAGAAATAAAGAATACATTGGCTGAAATAAAAAAATATTATACAGAGTCCTAAAAACAGAATGGAAGATGGCAAGAATCAAGTCAAAGATTTGGAACATAAAGAGCCAGAAGACACTCCTCCACAGAAGCAAGAATACAAGAGAATCCAGAAAGTTGAAGATAATATAAGAAACCTCTGGGACTTTCAAGCGAACCAACATCAGAATTATGGGGGTCCCAGAAGATGACAGAGAGCAAGATACCGAAAACATATTGGAAGAAATAGTGACAGAAAACTTCCTCCACCTGGGGAAAGAAATAGACTTACAAGGAAATAGGCTTACAGGAAGCACACAGAACTCCAAACAAAAGGAATACAGAGAGGACCACACCAAGACACATCATAATTAAAATTCCAAGAGCAAAAGACAAAGAAAGACTATTAAAAGCAGCAAGAGCAAAGCAGGTAGTGACATAAGGAGCACCCATATGATTGTCAACTGATTTATCAACAGAAACCATTTAGGCCAGACGGGAATGGTAAGAAATATTCAAGGTCATGAATAGCAAGAACCTACAGCCAAAAATACTCTACCCAGCAAAGCTATCACTCAGAATTGAAGGCCAGATAAAGAGCTTCATAAATAAAAAATAAAAAAAAAGCTAAAGGAGTTGTTCATCACTGCCAAACCAGAATTATATGAATTGCTGAAGGGGGTTCTTAGGAAGAGGAAGAAAATAAAGATAAAAATTATGAACAACAAATACATAACTATCAACAAGTGAATCTAAAAACCAAGGGAATTAAAAAATCTGGTGAATATAATAGAATCAGAGGTATGGAAGGGGAGTGAATTGACGATTCTTGGGGACAAGGGGAGTGGGGGGTGCGCAAAGAGATTGAACATAAACTGTGCACCTATGGATGAGGTCAATGGGGTGTGTGGAAAGGGCAGAGGGTGGGGTGGGAACCTGGTGGAGAGGAGCAATGGAGGGAAAAAAATGAACATTTGTAATAATATGAACAATAAAGATTTATTTAAAATTTTAAAAAAAATCAATGAAAAAAATAAAATTAAGACAAAAAAGTAAAAATAAAGTCACCTATCAACCATTGGTTTAAATGGAAATGGTTAAATGCTCCAATCAAAAACTGGTGGCCGAATGGATCACAAAGCAAACCTTTATATATGCTTTCTATAAGAGATTCACTACAAATCAAATGACACACACACACACACACACACACACAGACTGAAAGTAAAGGATGGAAAAGAATATATCATGACAATGGAAATGAAATGGAAAATAAAAACTGATGTATTAATACTTTTACTAGACAAAATAGACCAAAGTATTAATACTTTTACTAGACAAAATAGACCAAAGCAAAAACTATCTAGAGACAAAGTAGAACCCAGCTATTTCACTTCTGGGTATTTATCTGAAGAAACTCAAGACACTACATTCAAAAGACATGCATTCAATGCTAATTGCAGTGTTATCAGTAGCCAAAATAATAGAAGCAACCTTAAGTGTCCATCAGTAGAAGAATGAATAATGATGTGGTGCATATATACAATGGAAAATGACTCTGCCATAAAAAAAGAAAAAACGAAATCTTGTCATCTGCAACAATATGGATGGACCTAGAAGGTGCTGTGCTGTATAAAATAATCATACAGAGAAAGACAAATGCCTTATGATTTCACTTATATGTGGAATCTAAAAAACAAAATAAATGAACATGCAGAACAAAAACAGACACATAGATACAGAGAACGTTTTGATGGTTGCCAGAAGGGAAGGGTTTGGGGTGAAAGGGGTGAAGTGATTAAGAAGTATGAATTGGTAGTTACAGAAAGTCCATGGGGTTATAAAGTACAGCATAGAGCATATAGTAAAAAATATAATTACTATGGGTGGTGTCAGATGATCACATTGGAGTGATCACTTCATAAGTTATATAAATGTCTAATTGCTGGGTTTTATACCTAAAATTAATATTGTACATTAACTGTAATTGAAACATAAAAATTAGTTATTAATTAAAAGTTATTTTAAAATCAAAGTTCCTAATGAAATGGTTATATAGAAATGGAGAGGGAGAGTCCACATTTGTCTATTATACTTGCATAATAATTTATAATATATTCAGTGTTTATATATTCATGATCTCATTTGATCCTCACCATAATCCTGAAAGGGAGAGTGAAAAGGATAGACACAGCAAGTATTTAGCCCTTCTGCATGTGAAGAAATTTAGGATCTGAGAGGTGGAAATTTGCCTAAGGTCACACATGTAGTAAAAACAGAGGGACATGGTTTCTAACTCTGGCACTTGATTTCTAATATTCTTTTTGTTATTTGTTTCCATGTAATGGAATGGTGCAATGTTACCAATAGTTGATCCAGATTCACTTAGCATATTATAATTTGCTAATCATCATAATTTAGTTTGATTTTGATTTGGAAGTCAGATCCCAGGTGTAGCCTAAGATAATGTTTTCCAGTCTGTAGAACACTTTCTTCACATTCATTATCTTATCTTATCCTTTTATTTTACATGTATGGAAACATAAAGTATTCAGAGGTTAAAAATTCTGTCAAAATGTGATAGACTTAGACATTTATAATACAGTGGGTTATTATTGTTTTTGGATTCTGAAGATTTTTAGGTTCTTATCAAAGGTTTTCCAGCCTTGAATTTGTGGGAAAATTCTCTATTCTTTACTTCTCCCTATCACCCAACTCTTCCCTTTGGTAACCATCATGTTGTTATCTGTCTGTGTCTGTTAGTTTCCATTTATATCCCACATATAAAAGAATCATATGCTTCTTAGCTCAAGTGTTATTTCCTAGGTAATTATCAATATTTTCAATTTTTTTTCAGCCTCCCTCCTTGTTCTTTGTTACTAGACATACCTTTACTATTAAAATTTTAACATTTATTGCATTGGTGCATAAAAGCAACAATATTCGGAAGTTGAAAAAAAATATATTTTTTGCTTTGTCATATCAACTATTTTCCAGCTCTTGCTGAAGTCACTACATACCTTTTGTATTGAGATCATGATTCAATTTTGTATGTTTTGATAACATTTCTAATAACTTCTTAACCACCTAGAATTTATTGAATTAATGAAGAACTATTGTAGTAGTAAATGAAAACCAAAAACATTATTACATAATTTAATGTACATTTATTACATTTAGCTTTCTGTGTATTATTTCATCTCAAATGGTTGCTACGGGTTATATTTATATACTAGAGGCCCAGTGTATGAAATTTGTGCATGTTTAGGGTTTTTAGGTCTGGCCCGGTGATCAGAGTTGATTTGTGGGGCGATTGGGGGCTCCTGTTGGCACCCACCTTGGCTGACCTGAGGCCTGTGGGCTGGGGGTAGCTCCTGTGTTGAGCATCTGCCCTGAAGGTGGTCAGTGCGCATCATAGCGACCAGTTGATCCGATGTTAAGTCGATTTGCATATTAGGCTTTTATTATATAGTATGCTAACAATGAGGTTTTTTTCCCTTGGCAAGTTAAAAATAAGTGAAATATTTTTATTTAGGATTTGCCATTATTTTTTGCTATTATCTTCACTGAATATTACATTTGCCTTCTTCAAGTGATTTTTAAATATCTAGAGTATTTATTGTAGTACAGTGTACACTATGCAAAATTTACCATCTTAACTTTTTAAATATATAATTCAGTTGTATTAATTACCTTCACAATGTTGTATAATGATCACCACTATTTCCAGAACTTCGTATATAGCCCAAACAGAAACTATATCCATTAAACAATAAATCCCATTTCTTTCTCCCTCAGTAACCTCTACTATACTTTTGTCTATGTATTTGATACTTCAAGATACTTCACCTGGGAGAACAAAACTGTTTTTAAATGTCTTACTTAAAAATTCTAATTTTATATTTTTTGAAGGATGACAGCATGGAGGAGAAACCATTAAAAATAAAAGGAAAGGACTCTTCAGAGAAGAAAAGGAAACGGAAGCTAGAAAAGGTAGAACAACTTTTTGGAGAAGGAAAACAGAAGTCCAAAGAATTAAAGAAAATGGATAAACCTAAAAAGAAGAAATTAAAATTAAGTGCAGAAAAAGCAAAGGAGCTGAACAAACTGGCCAAGAAACTAGCAAAAGAAGAAGAGAGAAAGAAAAAGAAGGAGAAGGCTGCTGCAGCCAAAGTTGAACTTGTGAAAGAGAATACTGAGAAGAAGAGAGAAAGAAAAGTGCTGGACATCCCCTCAAAGTATGACTGGTCAGGAGCAGAGGAATCTGATGATGAGAATGCCGTGTGTGCAGCACAAAACTGTCAAAGGCCTTGCAAGGATAAGGTGAGTTCTAATGGGGTGTACTTAAGTGTGAGAGGGGGCAAAGAGCAACAGGCGTGAAGACATGTTTGATATAATGAGAGTCTGTTTTTGATCCTAGGGTTTGGGCTTCCAACAAAATGTTTTCTATAGTTTCTGTAAAGTGTTTTTACAGAATTATGAGGCTCTTAGATCAATGTGATTAGTAGAAGAAATATTGTGTTTTAAAAATCATATATTTTGTGAACATAATGAGAAAAGCAGAAGGGAGCTATGTGATTATCTGGAGCAGCAATACATTTCATATGCAATTGGCATAAAAAGTTCAAAATAGTTTTATGCTTCCCTTTAGGGTGACTCGGAGAACTACATATCTTGTTAGTTAGCCACAGTGGTCTGAGAAAAACCTGGGCCAGTATTCTAAGAGTTCTGGCAAATTGCTTTAGGATTTGTTCTAATGACATAAAGCTTAGGGATTAAGTCTTCCCTTTTTGGTCTGTATCTTATCTACACTCAGGTCTGTTGTTTTCTCCTCAGTGGAATATGATTTTTTGAAGTCCCTTGTAAAAAAAATTAAGACCTTTAAAGATAATGTTTAAAAAATTTTAGTCCTAAGTTTTAAGTATAATAATTATGTGTATTGGCCATTCTTTAAGTAATATTGATGTTCTGAGGAAGATCAATGGACTTCATGAAAAATCACAGTTCATAAGATGACTAGAGGCATCTGTATGGTTCCCATCAAGATAATTAGTAAATTCATAGTTCTAATTTTATGTTCATTACATCTCTTGGTATTTAGAATTTTAATAGCTCTTCCATTTGAATATATGAACAGAGTAAATACAACTGCATCAGTGTTAGGGCTTGAAGAGGCCACTGAGGATTCTTTATTTTATAAACAATGAAACCAGAACTCAGTGAAGATAAATGATGTTGACCAATGTTATAGAGCTAATTAGTGGCAAAATTAAAAGTAGAACCTTGGTTACCTGTCCCACAGAGCAGGTTCTCTCCACTAAAGTCCTTACCCCACCATTAATTGAAATGTAAATACAAAAACACATTTCAAAACTTAATAACACTTATATTTAAATTATTCTTATTAAAATTTTATATAATAAAATACATAGCCCATAGTCTGACTTTCCAAAGATAGTAACTATAAAAATTTTTGTGTTTCCTTCTAATCCTTTTTTATATAGTTTATTTTATAGCATGTCATACTGTATTCACTTTTATATCTTTATTAGCATTTTTATATATTATAAACATTTTAATAGGTACATGATATATGTGTGCATTGTTTTTATCTTTTATTTTGAACTTATTCTCATCTGAATTTGTTTATTATAGAGGCTGCTGAAAGGCTGTTTCTCTTTGGGTATTAGTAGCTCAGTGTTGACAAAAACTTTTTTTCTTTCTCTTTAATTGTATGGCAGTTACCAAAATATGGTATTTCTTTTTCAAGCTTTCCTGTTATCCTTACAGTGTTTAAATCTACTATGAATCTTTTACCCTTTCTTTTTCCCCCCTCCTTTTCATTTGATAATCTCTTCCCTCTCTGCTCAGTATTTTAAATATAGCTTAATTCATATATTGTTATCCCTGTAACATATAAACACTGCACACAGGTGTTTTTTTTGTTTGTTTGTTTGTTTGGTTTTTGCATCTGTTATAAAAAAAATTAATACTTTTTAAAAAATAGATTTTTAGAGAGAGAGAAACATCCATCGGCTTTTGGGGATCTAGCCCGAAACTTGGGTATGTGCCCTGACCAGGAATTGAACTGGCAACCTTTTGATGCACAGGAAGATGCCAAACCAACTGAGGCACACCAGCTAGAGCATAAAATTTTTTAATTAACTTGCTTATTTTCAGGGTTATAAGAGAATAGGTGAGGTAACCCCTATGAAAGTACTTGTTAACCAAAAATGCAATGTAAATGTTAAGATGTGATCATTATTCTCCTGGCTGGTTGATTTAGTTGGTTGGAACAACATCCTATACACCAAAAGGTAGTGGGTTTGATTCCTAGTCAGGGCACATACTCAGGTTGCGGGGTTCAATCCGGGAGGTACATGCGGGAGGCAAGCAATCAATGTTTCTCACATTGATGTTTCTCTCTCTCCCCTTTCCTCTCTAAAATCAATTAAACACATTCACACACACACACACACACACACACACACACACACACACACACACAAACATATCCTCGGGTTTGGATTTTAAAAAGTAAAAAAGATGTGATCATTATTAAATGAGCCCTAAGATTTGCTCCTAACATTATAAGAAAGTTATGTACATTATGATGGAGTAAAAGGAGATTTAATAGTCAGAGAAAATGTATTTTATTTTCTATTAATTTCAGAGAGGAAGGGAGAGGGAAAGGAGTGATAGAAGCATCAATAATGAGAGAGAATCATTGATCGGCTGCCTCCTGTACATCCCACACTGGAGATCAAGCCCACAGCCTGAGCGTATGCCCTGATCGGGAATCGAACTGTGAACTCCTGGTCCATAGGTTGACGCTCAACCACTGAGCCACACCTACTGATCAAAAATATATATTTTAAACTGTTAAAACATACAAAGGTGAGCAGTGTATGCCTTACATAAAAGAAACACTAAATATGTATTTCTGTAATGTGTTTAATTTTAAACATTATTTCAGATTTTAAACATTTTGCCTAGCCTTGCTGTTATGCAATTTTTGTGATTCTTCAAGTTTGTTCCTGATATCAGTTTTTTTTTTTTTTTTTAACCCTCATCCTTGGATATTTTTTCCATTAATCTTGAGAGAGAGATTGGAAGGGAGGGAGGAATGGGAGAGAGAGAAAAACAAAACAAAACACAATAGATAATGTGAGAGAGACATCGACTGGTTGCCTCCCACATGCACCCTGACTAAAGCAGGAATCAAACCTGCAACTAAGGTACATGTCCTTGTTGAGGAATTGAACTCGGGACCTTTTGGTCTGTGGGTTGATGATCTAACAACTGGGCAAAACTGACTAGGACTTAATACCAGTTTTTTTTGTTGTTGTTGTTTGTTTTTAATATATTTTATTTATTTATTTATTTATTTATTTATTTATTTTATTTTTTTTTTTACAAAGAGGAAGGGAGAGGAATAGAGAGCTGGAAACAATGATGAGAGAGAAACACCGATCAGCTGCCTCCTGCACACTCCCCACTGGAGTTGTGCCCGTAACCAAGGCACATGCCCTTGACTGGAATTGAACCTGGGACCTTTCAGTTCACAGGCCGACACTCTATCCATTGAGCCAAACCAGTTCTGGTTTAATACCAGTTTTAATACATAAAAGGTATATTTCTTTGCAAGCTGTGTAAAGAATTTTATAACTTTCTCAATTTGAAGTATAGTGTTTCTCTAAGACCAAATTAATGTGTGGCACACATCTTCAGAACAAAAGGATAACAAGAAAAGAATGATTTTTAGGGAAGTCTGTCTTTAAAATATAATGCAGTAAGGAAAAATAACAAGGTTTGTTTATATTTAGGTAAGTGTATATTTACAATTTTTCTAAGCAATAATTATTACTTCCCCCCCCAAAATGTGCAGATTGAGAAAATATTGAAAGTTACCTAGCCTCAATTTTAAGATGTTTTAGAAAGAGAAAGGGAAAATATCAGAATAGATTTTTAAAAAAACATTTGTCCCATCATGTTCTAACTTAATTTGCAACTTTCCTACTTTAGCACTGAAATTTTGTCTTGGGAAACTCATCAATTTTTGGCAGACTGAGAGGATCCAGTTATTTAGTGCTCAGTGCACCAAAAAATTATATACAAGTGTGATGAACATATGTTATGTTATACTTAATTAAGAAGATTTAAAAAAAATTTTCAAATCTGAGTTTTGCAAGGAACTTTGGTAAAAAACAGATTGAATGCCAAAATGGCAAAAGCTCAGTTGGGTAACTGAGCTAAGAATATCACTAAATCACCAGGCACACATCTCCCCCTTCCCATTGGAGTAATATGCTCTAAAATATGCACAAAGCCGGTTTGGCTCAGTGGATAGAGCGTCGGCCTGCAGACCGAAGGGTCCCGGGTTCGATTCTGGTCAAGGGCATGTACCTTGGTTGTGGGCACATCCCCAGAAGGGGGTGTGCAAGAGGCAGCTGATCGGTGTCTCTCTCTCATCGATGTTTCTGGCTCTCTATTCCTCTCTCTTCCTCTCTGTAAAAAAATCAATAAAATATTAAAAATAAATAAATAAAATATGCACAAAATATAATATGCCAAATATTTTAAGTGTAAATATATATCCATATAGCAAAACATGAAGTGTGAAACTTGCATTGTTTTTTTAAAATTAATAAATATTTATTGTTCAGATTATTACAATTGTTCCTCTTTCTCCACCCCTATTGTTCTCCTCCACCCTCTGCCCTTATCTCCCTCCCAGCTGTTCTCATCCATAGGTGTATGATTTTAGTCCAGTCTCTTTCCAAATCCCCCTCTTCCCACGAGAATTGTCAGTCCATTTCCTTTCTATGCCCCTGATTCTATTATATTCACCAGTTTATTCTGTTCATCAGATTTTTTATTCACTTGTTGATAGACATGTATTTGTTGTTCATAATTTTTATCTTTACCGTTTTCTTCCTCTTCTTAAAGAATACCTTTCAGCATTTCATATAATACTGGCTTGGCGGTGATGAACTCCTTTAGCTTTTTTTTTTTTTTTTTTAATCTGTGAAGCTCTTTATCTGATCTCCAATTCTGAATGATAGCTTTGCTGGGTAGAGTAATCTTGGTTGTAGGTTCTTGCTATTCATCACTTCGAATATTTCTTGCCACTCCCATCTGGCCTGCATAATTTCTGTTGAGAAATCATCTGGTAATTGTATGGGTGCTCCCTTGTAGGTAATTAACTGTTTTTCTCTTGCTGCTTTTAATATTCTCTCTTTGTCTTTTGCTCTTGGAATTTTAATTATGCTATGTCTTGGTGTGGTCCTCTTTGGATTCCTTTTTATGCGGTCCTGTACACTTCCTGCACTTGTAAGTCTATTTCTTTCACCAGGTGGGGGAAGTTTTCTGTCATTATTTCTTCAAATAGGTTTTCAATATCTTGCTCTCTCTCTTCTTCTGGCACTTCCATAATTCGGATGTTGTCCCAGAGATTCCTTTCACTGTCTTCAAAGTTTTAGATTATTTTTGCTTTTCCTGTTGGGTGTTTTTTGCTTCTTTGTATTTCATATCTTTGACTTGATTCTTATGGTCTTCTAGTCTGCTGTTAGGTCTCTATAATTTTTTTTAATTTCAAGCAGTGTATGTTTAATTTTTAGTTGTTCCTTTTTCATATTCTCAATGGTCTCACTAAATTTACTGGCCTTTCTAGGAAATTCTTGAAAAACCTTAAAAGCATGGTTTTGAACTCTAGATCCAGTCATTTGCTTTCCTCCATTTCTTTCATTTGTGATCTGTTTCTTTGTCTCCACATTTTCGCTGCTTCCCTGAGTTGTGTCGACTAGTTTTGTGTGGTAGGTATCCTATAGGGCCCAGTGGCTCAGCCTTCTCCAGTTACCTGAGGTGGATACTTTTGGTGCACCCCTTTGTGGACTGTGTGCATGGCCTTCCTGTGGTTAAGCCTTGATTGTTGTTAGTATTACTGGGAGGAATTGACCTCCAGGCCGATTGGCTATGAGGATCTATGCTTAGAGAATTTCTGTGCTGGAGACACCTTAAGAGACAAGACTTGCAAAATTGCAAAAGCCTCTCTGCTCAGCTTAGATGGGGCAGAGACTCAGGGCAGAACAGGGAAGCCTTGGCTTCCCATCAGCCCTGCTCTATGAGCCCCTGGGTCTCAGTGTCCCTAGGTAATCGCTGCAATCACCTCTGAGAGAAAGGTGCCCTCGAGTTTCGCCCGCTGCCAGACAATCCAGTTTCTCCCCGAATGAGTCTAGATTCCCAGAGACTCACCTGGGACTGGAGTTCAGCACAGTTAGGAGCTTCCGTCTCTTTCCTGCTTTAGAAAGCCAGCTATGCACTTAGCCGCACGTACACTCAGCCATCCGTTCTCTCTGCGTGCGCGCCTCTGTATCTCAGCCTTTTGCAGCTCCTCTGAGTCTCAACGTGCTTTCCTCTTTCTTTCTAGTTGTAGAATTTCCACTCAGCCTGCCTTCCTGTGGTTTTGGATGATGTCCATTTTGTCTTTTAGTTGTAGTTTGATATTGTTGTGCAAGGCAGCAATTTAGGGGTTTATCTATGCTGCCATCTTGGTTTCTCAAACTTACATTATTTTGTCTATTCAATATATTTCTCTTTTAAACACACATTTTCAAAAATCCAAATCCATTAACCTATTTATTCTGTAATGTTAAATCTTCTATTAATACTTAAACAGCTCATAGTTATGAAGTTTTTAAGTAATTATTTTTGTAATTTGATAAATGCATTCTCCAGAAGTAATGAGATGGGAAAAGAACTTAGTATATAGTTAGCCAAATTTTGGTTCTTGAATTTTCAGACTACTACATAGTCTATCCCCCATGTGTCAAAATCATTTGTAGATTCTGTTGACATTCCAAACTTGTGTTTGCTTTATGATCCTGTGGGCTTTTTCCTACAAATGGAGTTTGTTAGCAGATGAACGTGATAAAAGATATTAGTGAAAAAAGGACTGTTTTTTCCCTGCTAGATTACCAGGGTAAATTGCTAATATAATGTCTAACCTGGGAGTGTGTCTGTGTACCAATGAATATCTTTTTTAAAAAAAAAAATATTTTATTGATTTTTTACAGAGAGGAAGGGAGAGAGATAGAGAGCTAGAAACATCGATGAGAGAGAAACATCGACCAGCTGCCTCTTGCACACCCCCCACCTAGGATGTGCCCACAACCAATGTACATGCCCTTGACCGGAATCGAACCTGTCCGCAGACCGATGCTCTACCACTGAGCCAAACTGGTTTCGGCCCAATGAATATCTTAAGAAAACTTAGATACCCTTGGAATTTGGCAGAAGAGGTAGGCCTAGGAATGGACCTCTAGCCAAAATTACAAAGGAAAAATGTTGTTTTCCTTATTTGGGAGAGATGACAGATTTAATTTTAGGAAACTGGAAGCCATTGAATGTAGTGTAGAACTAGGTTTTAAAAGACATGAGACCACTTTTCTCGTCAAATATGGATAAATTGGCAACTTTCTTATCCTATGGATTACTGTATCATGAATGGGAGTAGACTGGATTAAGAGGTTTGGAGATAGAAGTAAGAGTTATCTATTTGCTGAGTGTGGCATAATATCTCAAATCTGGGCAGTCCAAAGAAACACAATTTATCTTCCCAATTACCTACATCAGCTCCAAATAGCCCAAACACTTATCCTGAGTTTACTTACTACTAAATTAGCACTTTATAAACCTTCACTTGCTTGCAGGACCTTTATTTCTATTTTGATGCACAGAAGTCATCATCTCCCTTTTCTATCTGTGATATATTTTTCCACAATAGGAACATTTTGATCAATTATTTTCTTTATTTCCAGGTCTGAAGCTAATATTATACGAACAAACAACCCAGAATTTGTTTTAGGAAGGAATTGTTAAGTTGCTCTAATTTACAGAAAGCAGTGTCACAAAATGCCAGTGATCATCAAATTTAGACTATGTAAGAATTCCCTTGGGACTATTGAAAATGTTGTCTTCTGGTGTGTAGCCCCATGATATTCTGAGTTTGTGGGTTTGGGATGGATTTCAGGTACACTTTTGACAAAACACAACAGGTGATTCTGATGCAAGTGGTCTACACATTTTAAGGTGTGCTGCTGCAGGCAGTTATTTCAAGATGCAGTAGTTTTGTGAAAGGTAGGATAATGAATAGAACCATGAAACTGACATTAAAAAGTGCCTCCAGGACCCCAGGCAGTAACTAGGTGTTTTGCTACACATTATTTCATTTTGATCTTCAAAATATTCTATAAAGAAGATGTAATCTCCATTTTTCACTCAGGAGGAAATTGAGCCTTAATGAGATTAAATGACTTGCCTTAAATTATGCATCTCAGAACTTCTGACCAAATTCAGTAATCTTTATACTACACAACGTTGTTTCCTAAGCTCTAAATTCTAAAATAGGAATAATGAAAGCAGAAAGGTTATTTTGAGCCATGGATGGTTGCTCAGTGATTAAAGTGTGAGCTCGTGGACCAAAGGTCTTAAATTCGATTCCTGGTCAAGGGCACTTACCTTGGTTTCAGGCTTGATCCCCAGCCCTGGACAGAACACATGTGGGAGGCAACCCATCGATGGGTCTCTCTCACATCGATGTTTCTCTCTCTCCCCCTACTCCCTCCCCTCCACTCTCTTAAAAAAATATTTTAACAAATAATTCCTCCCACCCTTTATTAGAACCCTAAAACTACTAACATGACTATCATAGGTTCTTTTTTTTTTTTTATATATATATCATAGTTTTGATAATTATTTTATAGTACATGGAAACTTAATTTTGAAAACAGCTCACTTTCCTTGAAACTCCTTTACCTATCCAAAACCTTCCTCTGTTCTTTTTCATAAGTTGTATTGAGGTACTTATTTAATCTATTCATATGCCTTACTTTGCTCTGATATCAGGTAAAGCCCATTTAAAATATATATCTTTCTTGATTCCAGAGAAGAAGGGAGAGTGAGATATAGAAACATTAATGATGAGAGGGCATCATTGATCTGCTGTCTCCTGCATGCCCCCTACTGGGGATCGATCCCACAACCCAGGCATGTGCCCTTGACTGGAATCGAACCCGGGACCCTTTAGTCCCCAGGCCAATGCTCTATCCACTGAGCCAAACCAGCTAGGTCCAAAGCTCATTGTTTTAAGTGGCTTCCTATGTTGCCAAGTGAAATGATCAACTTTTGTAGTGTGTACTGTATCTGCCATGATCAGCTTTAAAAACTACCACAATCACCTTCCAAATATAAAAAGCCAAAATCACCTTATTTTTAATTCTAGGTCCAAGCCTTAATTAAAGTCACCAAATGATAGAGCCTTTCTAATCTCCTACTATTATCACAATACTAGAGGCCCAATGCATGAAATTTGTGCACTGGTAGGGGTCCTAGGCCTGGCCGGTGATCAGGGCTGATTGGGGTCTTCCAGCTACCAACTGGGGCCTCCTTTCCCCAGCTGCTGGCTTCTGGCTGGGGCTTTGCTTCATTTCACACCATGTCCTGGTGGTCAGCACACATCATAGCAAGCAATTGAATTCCTGGTCTCCTGGTTGAACTCCTGAGGGCACCCTTTGTATATTAGCCTTTTATATATATAGATATATAGGTTCTCTGAAGGGTCAAAGTTTGCCAATGACCTAACAGTTATTCAGACTTTAATTTTAACCCAAGAGTGATCTATTGATCTGTGTTTTTGACTGTTTTAATTGGTTAATTTGTATTTATCTGATATTTGCTAACTTTTTATAGGGAGTTGTATTTATAACAGAAGAAGAGAAGAATAAAAAATATTAGTTTTAAAAGTGGCCTATGTGACTGCTTTTCTAAAAAGGTATTTAATGCTCTTAGTACTTTGGCTTATCTCTTTGAAATAAAGCTAATACACAGGATTGCCTTCACATTGTATATTTTTCCTTTCTTGATTGATAATTGCATTGCCTAGAAATTGTTAATACCAGCTAAAACAACTTGGCTGCTCTATTCCTTTTTTGTCAAATTTTTCTCATGTTTCTGCCTTCCAAGGAGTCTCAGGTATTTATGAAGTAATGGAGTACCTAACAGGCCTAATTTTGTGGACATACTATGGTAAAATACAATTTTTGAGGTATTAGCTTCCCACCTCCTTTCTTTAAAAAAGAACCTTAAAGAAGTCATTTTCTGTCTCTGGACATCTCAATTGTTTCTGTCATTTAAACAAGAAAGCTCTTTGGTTTACTTTTATTTTGGGCTTAATGATTATATAACCTAAACATTTCTCAATCTTGTCTCCTACAGGTAGACTGGGTACAATGTGATGGTGGCTGTGATGAGTGGTTTCATCAAGTTTGTGTGGGAGTATCTCCAGAAATGGCTGAAAATGAAGATTACATTTGTATAAACTGTGCAAAGAAGCAGGGGCCAGATAGCCCAGGTCAAGCAACAGCTCCTTCCTTCATAATGAGCTACAAACTACCGATGGAAGATCTTAAGGAGACCAGTTAGCATATACTAAGTTAGTTTGGGACATGGGGAAAATGGACCACATTAAGATCTTAGTCATAAAATTGAGTGGTTTAGATCCACTCACAGTGTTGCTTCCAAAGACGAATGGCCTTCAGAGAAAGTCCTTGTAGTTGACTTCCTCTTTGCATGGACTGTGTGATCTACATTCTCTATCAACACGTCTGTGCAGAGGGTGTCTTCTTTGGTACAGCAGCCAATGTTTCAGTTCGTGTCTGTTGAGTATGGTTTGTTACATTAAGGCCAGACATTTGATTGACCTCCAGGGTGGTTGGTTGAGTTTAATACATTGGTGTGCCATCAGGGAATGCAAGATATGTCTTATGGCCAGTTGGTATTAGTTAGAGGTTTATCACCTAGAGGCAGCACCATCTGAGGTGCTGATTTTGTGACTCTTCTTTGTTAGGATAGTTACAAAGGAGTCAGAGTACCACTTTCTCCCCTATTACTTGGCCCAAATAAAACTAGGAGAGGAAAAGGGCCAGAGTTAACTCCTGTTGGAAGTCATGGGATAGTAGCACAGGCTAGACCTCAGCTACTTGTGCTTGTTTGTACCAAGAAGAAAACCCCAAATGAGAGGCAGATCACCTTATCTTCCCAAAGAGGATGTCTTGTAGTTCAGAAATCTGACTAGATTGTATTCCGGGAAGAAGAGCTTTTCTTATTTCAAGGCAAGGAACTTTTTTTGCTTAGAGAAGTCTGCTGTCTTGGGTCTACATTTGAGAGCAGAGCAGGTCCATGGATCCAGGCTTCAGCAAAAGAAAAGAAGACAAGTTAATGTTTTACTGAGCCACAGAGATGCATGCTTTTGGGGGAACCTTCATTCACAAGTATACTAGATAACACCAGGCTTCAGGCATGGCCATGAACAAGACCAGCAAATAACAACATTTTGCCTTGCAGCCCCGATGCCAATGTCTGCTGTTTCCAATACTGACAATTTCTGATTGTGGTCCACACCAGATGCTGTTGAATACCACCATGGCTTCATCAGAGGATGTGGAATTGTAGGACCTCTGGGTGATGAAGTTGTTTTAGTAAATCCATTTTTTTAAAAGAAAAAAGGACTTGTTTTTACTTTTTTCTAAATGTCTCTGACTACTGACTGTTCTAAAAATAGATTATTTTTTCTTTTTTAATATACATATATGAATATATATAAATATATATATATTTACTGTTACCAGCAGCATATGACAGAGTTCCTGTGTCAGAAATCCTTTTGGGGGCTTGCTTACTCTTTTTTGCTTTTTCATAAAGAAGTCCCATTCCTCCTTGTAGTACAAGGAGTTAGCACTTCCTCGTCCATCCTAGCCTAACCAGATCTCCCATCTTGTTTTTGTTCAAATAAATAATTATATTTCTTTTGTGCATTGGGACTTGTCTATGTCTTTTGGGAAAACTTGGTCTTACTGTATCTGTGATGGCTGTTTTGTTTTTGTATGTGTATGTTTGAAACTATGGTGCTGTGTCCTCTTCCTTCCTTTTGTGTTCCCTTTTTTTTTTGTTAAGGTGTTAGGAAGCTGTATGGAAACTCTTATTAGAAGGGGACTAATTTTTTTTTTTTTTTAAAGAAAAAAACAAGCAAACTAACAATAGTGTTTTGTCTTTACTGTCCTGTGTCCCTTTAATTTGGTTTTAAAATCTTCTTTGACCTAATCAGATTTACTTTTAAAGAGGGCAGGAGCAGGGTGGACCTAAAGAATAGTTTCTGGTCTCCTTTCCATTTTACCCCAATTTGTTTGAAAGAAATGTCTTTCAAACAGAAGTAAAATGTACTGTCCAGTCACAGTTTAAGTGGGTATGAGATTTAACTCAAAAACCATCTTATTTAAAACACACACACACACACACACACACACACACACACACACACACACACCACACAGCTTTTCTATAAAATCCAGTTTTTATAAATGTGTTCTCTGTTTGAGGCTACCTATTTTTGAGGCACATGTTGAATGTTTTGACCTGTTGAGAGATTCATAAGTGTTGCTGTGCATGTGTCTTGAGAATCTGATCTCAGGTGTGTGAATGATTTAAGATTTCAGGGGATATTGCAAGATAACCAATTTCATTTTGTCAAACTATATAAAGATATTAAGAATTTTTTCATTTGGTCAATGTTACAGAAGAAAACACAGTATTTTTTGCCTTTTGGTCTTTGTAAAAATAATCAGGGTTAAAAATTGAATGCAATTTTATGTGATGGGGGTCTTGGAACACATTTTAAAATACTCTATTTTTTCCTTCCTAGTCACCCATTAACTACTCAGCCCATGAGGATGCTAAGAAAGATAGCTAAGGTGCTTTGCTTCTTGGAGTATGATAAATGGATATAGGTGGTTGTTTAAGGAATGCTTTATTTTCTGAATATGGCATTTGCCTGCTAGAAACCTGAGAGAAAAATGCAGGGCAGTCTCCAACCATGAATAAATAGCTTTCTCTTTTTCTTCTGACATTTTGAAACTTAGATATATCAATCTACTGTAGGATGTTCTATATTTGAAAATCACAGAGGATTTGGTCTGACTCTTGACCATAGATTTAGACCAAGGCTGAGAAGAACAGATGAAATTAGTTTGAGAGAGGGGGGGGGGGAGGGGATGAACATATACAAATCAATTCGGAATTAATGGACTTAAAGAAATGCTGATGCTCTAACACAAGACATCGTTTTCAGTTAGAAGAAATTAATATTTACAACTTATCCCATTCTGTGGTATTGAAACATTTTTATTTTAAAACTTAAAATGTTTCCCCTTCTATCTCCTCAAAGTTGTAATTCCTCACTATAGGTGTTTTAACTTATATGTTAATTCTTTCAAAGATATTTCCTACTACCTTCATTATAAGCTACTTTATGAAAGTTTATAGAATGAAAAATGAAGAAATGCTAGGTTGCTGTAAATTAATAAAGAGACTAGAAATATAATATAAATTTATAATCCATGGGGGAGTCAGAGGAGCTTAGCTGTAGGAACCAAGTTCTGTCTGTCTCAGGACCCCTTGCTTTTTATTAACACAAATTGTCCTAAGGCAAGGTAGATATACATATCAAAGGTTAAGGTTTAGTATACAGAAGCATTGTCAGTTTCCTTTGGCGGTTCAGGTGTTTGGCTAGCAGGAGGCACTAATGTGGATTAAAATGCCCTCAGCATTTATTGTCTGGTAACAGGCAATAATATATGCAAATCTTTAGGTCTGGGTAAATGCCCTTCAGCCATTCCAGAAGGTCAGTGTTTCCCAAACTTTTGACAAGTGTACCCCTTCTATAATTTTTGATACGCTGAGTACCCCTCGTACTCATGAGAACATAGAATTAGGCGCAGCTAAGCACGGTGCAGTGCATATCCCCACCAACCTCTGGTGCAATGCGTACCCCCACCAACTCTTCCCATACCCCTGGGGGTACGCGTACCACACTTTGGGAAACACTGCAGTAGGTAATAACATGTATTCAGCCCTGTTGAATATAGAAGCCTCAAGGTTCCATCAACCTTTTGATGAAACTTCTTGCATTTATGACATGCTGGAATTAGCTTCCGGCACTAGGTCCTATCAATCTCAAAGGGTGGTAATTAAAACTATGCAAACTGCTAAGTTTACAAGTACAACTAATATATCAGTAGTAGCTTTCTTGGGGGAACAAGGGGCATTTTGCTGTCACAAATGTGTATTTTACTGTGATAGTTACTGCAACAAAGCTATGTTGAAATGTAGATGCTAGGGTCCCTAAATTGCTGCAAACTAGCTTTTGCACTGCATGAGTCAAATTTGTGCCTCAATAAAATTACAAATAACTGTACATCATACTTGGAATAATTGAAAAGGCAGCACACATTAAATCTGATTTAACATAATATACTTTAATCAAAACTCTAGCAAAGGCTAACAGATTTGTAACATTAGAACAAATTTTCCTATACTTCTGTTCCTTGCTTTCATCTTTAGCAAGTATCTAAGGAATTATTTGTTTTTCTAAATTTTTTTAGCTTGAGTGCAATTCAGTGTAGGTAAAAAAAACTTCCTGCTTGTTAATACTTTGATTCATAATTTGTGTGGACATTAGCAAGTACTTAAAATAGGAGGATGGAAGGAAAACTCAGAAAGCCCTTCCATTTTAAAGGGTGAGATTATCTACTTTTTAAAGGAGAAAGTGACAGTTTTGGAGTGGGATTTGTAAATTGTGGAAAAAGTAAACTGTTAGAGTCCCACGTATAACAGGTTCAATAATGGGTTTAGGTGTGTAGTAAGTTGCTTTTGTAGTAAGTCCTTAAGTATAGATTTTAAAAAGCAGGTAAATGATTTGCTGCCTTCCATGTTGTTATTTTAAAAGTATATACTTACTTTTTTGATATGGATATGCCAACTGATATTGATAGCATGAAAAGGAAAGGATGAATGTTTATCTATTTTGGAATTGCAGTCTTCTCTTGGCTTGGATCATATCCAGTCACCACTATGCAATGAATGATGTGCACTAGGAAAGATTAGGATGGATTTTTAAAGATGTATCCTACTTATTACCTTTGCAACACTCAAAGATGTCTAAATAGGAATGTGTTCTGTAAACCTCAAGACCCTCTGTTGGTTATTTCCGTACATATTTATTTGCTAGTGAGACTCTTAAATATAATATGGATTCTAATTTGCCAGGATTTTTGGTGGTGCCTTATGAAAAGTATAACTTGATTTCTTGTTTTTTTGAGCATGTTTTGCATTTTTTGTTTTCTGAAAGAATATTAGATATGATTATTTGCATTACATCCAAAAAATAAAGAACATTTTTATGTGTGCTCAGGTTCCCCCCTATTTTGTCATTTACATTGGTGGCAAGTCTGGTAACTGAGTAAAGGTAAATTTTGGCAGTGAGTTATTAGTGATCCTGGGGAATACTAGCAAGTATATGAAAGCCACTTTTAACCTGTGCCAAAGCAGTTTCTAATATTGTATTTGCTCTCTATAAAATAAAGAGCTGG